TCTTCGCCATTACAGACCGTGTTGACAGCATCATCTTGGAATACAGTGATACGGTTGGAAATTTGGCACTTCATGAGGAGGATTGCAATTGGTTGTACAACTGACTCTCATCAGTTGTATTCCTCCTTCATGGGGTTGCTAAGCAACTGTATTTTTCATTGGGATGAGAAAGATCTTAGTTGTCTGGTCAAGTCAAAACGTAATGAGCTGACAGCCCAACACCTCTTCATCAAGTCTGATGCTGACCTCATGAAACATATCAGTAGGTACAAGCTAGCCTTGCACTGCTGCAGAAAAACCAGAGGTGAAGCTGAAACTACTAAGCTGATTAGTAAACTTATTGAAACATTCAGTGGTGAAAATAGGAGGGATACTCTTGGTGTTACAATAATCAATAGCTCAAGGAAGAAGAGCATATGGGATGCCCAACAGAAGCACATAGCCTGTATACAGGATCCTCCAGGCATTTCCCTGTACACCAAAAATGGTTTGCACAATTATGCTCCTTTATCTTGACACATTATCTGATCCATTGTATATATATTTGACAGGAAAATTGGCTAGTGATGTCCTGTTCCAGGCATATATGGTAGATGGTCTCCACAGGTGGAATGAAGACAGAGAACGAGCAGCAGTATCAACACAGACTGACCACATTCTCAAAGCCAAACTGACATGTGATTTTAAAAAATGGTATGTCTTCTACGGAACAGAGGACTTGGTAACAGTTGCAGTCAGGTGTGGAAGAAGCTTGAGGACGAGCATGGAGAAAAGTGGTTGCTGAATGACATACACTTTGTGACAGACTTCAGCTGGTTTTCTAGTGCAGCTGATTCAAGTTTGATAATACATCCAACCTTCGCTGAACCGCCACAGAGAGCACCTCTACCCAGGCACTGATGGCTTATGCAGATCTACATGCAGGATGTTCTGTGTCATATGGACGACATGAAGACTAGCAAAAATAAGTTTTTCCGAGAATTATAAAAAAGATTCAACAAAGAAAGTTTTAAAAAAACTTGACTGGACATCTTGCCAAGACTGCGCTAAGGTGAACAAATAATGGGAATGAGGATGAGATGGAAGAAGACACTACCAAAAGTAGAACAGCAGTGGATTGCAAAGGCATTGTTTCACTGGAACAAATCAGGGGGAGTGGAACTTGTCCTAGGGTGGTGGTATCCGCCACAACCGGGTGAAGCAGTTAACAGCTTACCTGGAGTGAACAGGTATTTTCCTCGGCCCTTGTTCTTGTGGATGCCATGGAAACAGTGGAAGGTAAAATTATATTGCCCCCAGCCTGGATGTGAGAATAAAGAGTTGGCTTCAGCTGGAATCAATCAAAAGGTTCGACAAGTCACCGACATTGATGGCTTCTACAATATGGCCTGTGACAACCTGGAATGTATGAAGTGTCGGCACAGGGTTCTCTGCTTGAGCAATGCTATTCTGTCACAACTTGACATAGGGCATCGGGTTCAGTTCCCATGCATTCTGACAGCCAAACTGGCGTGTGATTATAAAGTGGTGCGTCTGCTGCAGAACAGAGGACTTGGGAATAGTTGCAGTCAGGTGCGGAAGAAGCTTGATGAGGAGCATGGAGAAAAGTGGCTGCAGAATGTTATACACTATATGACACACATCAGCTGGTTTTCTAGTGCAGCCGAGTCAAGTTTGGTCATACATCCAACCTTCGCTGAACCGCCACAGAGAGCATCTTTACCCAGGCACCGATGGCTTATGCAGATATACATCCAGGATGTTCTACATTGTTTGGATGAAATGAAGGCAGGTATAACCTCGGTGTTTGGAAGAATCATTAAAATTGATTCAATGAAGAAGGTAGTAAAAAGTTGGCTGGACGTCCTGCAAAGACTGCACTATGGTGCACAAACGTTGGAAACGAGTATGGACAGGTCCTTATGTCTGTCATGACCTAGGGAGAAGGACATGGTCTTACCCCTATATTGGTTGGTGTTCAACTGTTACTCAAAGGCTGAGGTATCCTCCCCAGAGATCGTCTATGTTGATCGAGACTGCTGTGGATCTTCGCCATTACAGACTGTGTTGACAGCATTATCTTGGAATACAGTGATACGGTTGGACATTTTGCACTTCATGAGGAGGATTGCAACTGGTTGTACAACTGACTCTCATCAGTTGTATTCCTCCCCTTATGGGGTTGCTAAGCAAATGTATTTTTCCTTGGAATGGGGAAGATCTTAGATGTCTGGTCAAGTCAAAACGTAATGATCTGACAACCCAACACCTCTTCATCAAGTCTGATGCTGGCCTCATGAAACATCTAAGTAGGTACGAGCTAGCCTTGCATTGCTGCAGAAAGACCAGAGGTAAAGCTGAAACTACTAAGCGGATTAATGAACTTATCGAAACATTCAGTGGTGAAAGGGGGAGGGATACTCTTGGTGTTCCACTAATCAACAGCTCAAGGATGAAGAGCATATGGGATGCCCAAAAGAAGCACATAGCCTGTATACAGGATCCTCCAGGCATTTCCCTGTACACCAGGACTGGCTCCACCAAGAAAGGAGGGATTGAACTGCCCAATTTCCGATGTGCTCGGGGATCCACTTCACTGGAGAGCTTTCACCTACATCTTAACAGATTCATCCCAGGTAATAAATACAAACCTTAGCACAGTAGTTTGTACAACTATTATGATTGTAAACTAATGTTCAGATCTGATCACCTTACACATTTATGTCTAGGCTAATCTGTGTTTGTTGACAACTCTTATTTTGCCATGTTTTCAAATAATTTTTGTATGGTAAATATTTTGTATGGGTTGCATAAATTATGCTCCTTTATCTTGACACATTACCTGATCTATTGTATATATATTTGACAGGTACCTTGGCTAGTGATGTCCTGTTCCAGGCATATATGGTAGATGGTCTCAACAGGTGGAATGAAGACAGAGAACGAGCAGCAGTATCAACACAGACTGACCATCAGTCATACAGTAACCTCTTACGGCATTCCGCCAATACATTGCGTCTGAAGTTGCTGAGTAGGAAGATTGACCCTTCTTACAATTAGCGAAGAAAGTACACAGGTATATTGTTTGATATAAATACAGATATAGCTTGAAAACTTGAAATTTAGGTTTAAGCTCCCATGCATTCTCAAAGCCAAACTGGCATGTGATTATAAAGTGGTATGTCTTCTACGGAACAGAGGACTTGGTAACATTTGCAGTCAGGTGTGGAAGAAGCTTGAGGACGAGCATGGTTGCAGAATGACATAAACTATGTGACAGACTTCAGCTGGTTTTCTAGTGCAGCTGATTCAAGTTTGATAATACATCCAACCTTCGCTGAACCGCCACAGACAGCATCTTTACCCAGGCACCGATGGCTTATGCAGATCTACATGCAGGATGTTCTGTGTCATATGGACGACATGAAGACTAGCAAAAATTAGTTTTTCTGAGAACTATAAAAAAGATTCAACAAAGAAAGTTTAAAAAAACTTGACTTGACATCTTGTCAAGACTGCACTAAGGTGAACAAATAATGGGAATGAGGATGAGATGGAAGAAAACACTACCAAAAGTAGAACAGCAGTGGATTGCAAAGGCCTTATTCTGCTGGAAGAAATCAGGGGGTGTGGAACTTGTCCCGGAACATCTGTCCAAGTTATGGTGGTATCCGCCACAACTGTCTGTAGCAGTTAACAGCATACCTGGAGTGGACAGGTATTTTGCTCGGTCCTTGTTCTTGTGGATGCCACGGGAACAGTGGAAGGTCAGATTATATTGCTCCCAGCCTGGATGTGAAAATAAAGAGTTGGCTTCAGCTGGAATCAACCAACAGGTTCGACAAGTCACCGACATTGATGGCTTCTACAATATGGCCTGTGACAACCTGGAATGTATGAAGTGTCGGCACAGGGTTCTCAGCTTGAGCCATGCCATTCTGTCACAACTTGACATAGGGCATAGGGTTCAGTTCTCATGCATTCTGACAGCCAAACTGGCGTGTGACTATAAAGTGGTGCGTCTGCTGCAGAACAGAGGACTTGGGAATAGTTGCAGTCAGGTGCGGAAGAAGCTTGATGAGGAGCATGGAGAAAAGTGGCTGCAGAATGTTATACACTATATGACACACATCAGCTGGTTTTCTAGTGCAGCCGAGTCTAGTTTGGTCATACATCCAACCTTCGCTGAACCGCCACAGAGAGCATCTTTACCCAGGCATCGACGGCTTATACAGATCTACATGCAGGATGTTCTACATCGTTTGGATGAAATGATGGCAGGCATAACCTCGGTGTTAGGAAGAATCATCAAAATTGATTCAACGAAGAAGGTGGTTAAAAAGTTGGCTGGACGTCCTGCAAAGACTGCACTATGGTGCACAAATGTTGGAAATGAGTATGGACAGGTCCTTATGTCTGTCATGACCTCGGGAGAAGGACATGGTCTTACCCCTATGTTGGTTGGTGTTATCAACCATTACACAAAGGCTGAGGTATCCTCACCAGAGATTGTCTACGTGGATCGAGGCTGCTGTGGATCTTCACTATTACAGACATTCTTTGAATACTGTGATACTCATGGACATTTGGCACTTCATGAAGAGGATTGTACAGACATTGATGGCTTCTACAATATGGCATGTGACAATCTTGAATGTATGACGTGCAGACGTAGAGGTTTGTTGTCCATTGCAACATTGTCATTTGAGGATTGGAAAAAGTCCATGATACAAAAGGATATGGGAAGAAGAGAAAATAGGATTCATTAATAGTACATGTGATATGGTAATGTAGTGTTAGAGTGATTCTATGTCTTAAAGTGATTAATACATGATTAATGACAGTGCTTTACAATATATTTATTGGCAAATGCGTCATAATATTGACAATTTACTCCTAGCACATGTCATTTCTTCAATAATCTGTGTAAATTTTAAACTTATTTTCCTTGAACATATGTGATGTGTCTTTGTTAAGAGATGTATGCCCCCTCAGAGCCATACCCAGGACAGGAACTTGAAACGGGAAATGAAGGCGGAATAGTATAGTATTAGCCAGTTGAAATAAGTTCTTTTCTAGTAACTGCATGTCTCAATGGCTGTTATAATGGCTATATGATAAATATCTTCTTCAGGGGTTCCCTAGGGGTGAATGGGTTGATCATGGAAAGTTAACAGTGTAGACATGGCATCACTGTATTATTTACTGCAATTTTATTACAATTTACTGTGTATAATTTATTGACAAAACACGGACAGACAGTCCAAAATCAATATGCCCCAGTTGCATAAAAAGTAAAGGAACAAAATCAGAATTTATTACTAAACTCTGGCAGTTTATTATTTACATGAAGCTTTATGAATGCAGGGGAGTTGACTCTTTTTTTTAAACTTTTTTTTCTGTTTAACCTGGCACAAAAGCTCCCGAATAAACCAAAATATGCTACCTATGTATGAAAAATACCATGAAAAACCAAAAAAATCAAATTTTTAGTGATGCTAGAGAGCTAAATTGGATGCCAACAAATAAATGTTCGTATTTTAATTCCCACTTGACAGTTTGCAACAGACAAGATTTACAGGTATAATAGTCGGGCATGATACAAATTGAAAAGACTGGCCTTTTCATAGCACCTGTTTATATACATCAATATTTCAAGCAGTGAGTATTTGTAATGGAAGTATGGGGGAGGGTGCTTGAATTTCTATTAAAAGCATGGAAGAGGGGATTAGAGCTCTAATAACTAGCATGGCAAGTATTAAACTTCTAATGAAGAGGGGCTCACCTACTGTATTAGTTACTTTTTGCTTATCTGTGTTTTAGCTGTCTATATATTTCAAATACTGAACAATGAATATATGCTTTCTTGATTAATCTACATATTGCACAAATTAAAGTCATTTCTTGTAGTTACATCATAATTATTTTATGTACAACAAAATGAAACCTACCTCAATAATTAAGTTTTATAATAATCAGACTGTCTTTACATGCGAACATGTCATTTCAAAAACATACTCATTCATAAATAGTGCTCCTAATTAGTGACAAGTTATTAAATGTTGCATTGGTTTACCCTAACACTTGATTACTTAACATCTATGAAAAATATGCTACATACTTCAGTGAATATATGAGCCGCGTCACGACAAAACCAACATAATGGGTTTGCGACCAGCATGACTCCAGATCAGCCTGCGCATCCGCGAAGTCTGATCAGGATCCATGCTGTTCGCTATAAGTTTCTTTACTTGTAATAGGGTTTGTAAGCGAACAGCATGGATCCTGATCAGACTGCGCAGATGCGCAGGCTGGTCTGGATCCATGCTGGTCGCAAATGCACTATGTTGGTTTTGTCGTGACATGGCTCATATATTTACAAACAAATATTTATATAAATCAAACAGTAAGCACTCTCATTTCTATGTTTAAATATATATATGTCTAATAATTCATTGCACTAACCCGTAAAAATACAATATTTCAATGCTTTAATTAAACTTGTTTTATTATACTATGTATTAACTATTGAACAAGAGCTGTTGATTGAACAAAAAGAATGAACTTGACTATTCTTAGTGCTGTACAGTAGGGAAAGGGGCATAACTCTGTAAAAAGGTAACTAAGACCTGTGTCCATCATTTTACATTATCACAGAGATCAGGTATGTGAAGTTTCAACCAATTCCCTTTAGTAGTTTTGGAGATTGCACATAAAAACTTAACCAAAGAGTGACAGCATCACAGGCACTGGGATGTCACTGGTCGCTGGGTCGAGAACAATAGCTCTCCTTATTCTTTGAATAGTCAAGCTAAATACTTAACATTTAACTTAATTTTACCATTAACCCTTTCACTGTCAGAATTACAAAACACTTTATATTTGTCAACAAAACATGATTATACAATATTGCAATTTGCATTATACTATAAAGCAATCAATGAAAAAGTGACTTTTTTTTACTGTTAATGTTACTTATTTGGATATGTGCTAAATAGAATATTATATTTGTGTAGCTTCATTACAAAAACTATTGAACTGGTTGAAAAAAAGTATTACCCTTGCCAGGGACTAAAATAATTGTATTCAACTTGTTCAATAAATTCAGAATTGAATATACACTCGTTCAACATCCTCTATTTAAATCATTTGTAATAAAAACAAAAATCAATTCAAATAAAAAAGAAATTAATTTTTCTAATACTAAAGTTTAAATAAAGGCTGTTTTAGAAATGGTGTGGTAAATTTGTCCAAGTTTACAAAAGGGGTAGCTAATGAAGAATTGGAATAAAATACTGCAGTGAAATGCTACAGGTAAAAGCACAAAAATACGTTGGCAATATAATGTACCCGTCAGTAAATGTGTGTTCTGTCAGTGAGACTTTCAATGTGTGATTTCTATCCATTTTTATATACTTAACCAGGTAATTAAATGCATTTTAAACTAAACAGTTTACTTGACAACATCTTAACTTTTTCATAGATATTCTTAATTTTCATAGAAATAAGAAGTACTTTGGAGTTGTGCTTTTTTCAAGCTAATTGTATAGTAAGCTTTCTGCATATAAAATCAAACAAGAGCTGTCAGTGAGACAGCATGCTCAACTATTCTTAATGCTTCATAGTATCGCAAGAGCAAAAAGGGCCATAATTCTGTCAAAATCTGTATTAGAGTTACACAGTGACCTCCTATTATGCTCTAAAATATGTGTATTAGTTTCAACTCATTCGCTTCAGTAGTTATGGAGATAACTGCTTGCAAGCATAACCTTCAAAGAAGTGTGATGCCGACTTCCAATAGTTGAGCCAAGAAAGCATGATACAGTGAAAATAACTGCATGTCTGTAATACATACCCTTTGATAAACCTAACATAATCAACTTAAATAATTATACAATTTAAAATGACAAATGAAACTAGCTACAAAAATTTACACACAAAAAACAAAACAGCTAACTGTCCGTGGAATATAAGTGAAAATTCTTTATCATTGAAGTAGTGAATATTCAGCATTTAATCATTGTAGAAAAATCAATCACAGACAGGCACTGAAACAGTTTAATAGTGAACTGTTCCAAAAAAAGGAAGCTGGGAAAGTCAATTTACGAAATGAAGTTGTGTATGCTTTTATGAAATGACGGCTCACATGAGATTTAAATGATATCTTAGTTTACAATAACCACATAAAACAGTTCACATTATGCTAAACAATAACAAACATTACTAGCAGTATAACAAAACAATATACAACAGTGTCATAGACTGTGTCCCATCATTACTTAACTTGAGAACAGAGACCAGTCTAAAATTCTAGAATCTGATTGGTTGAATTCAAATTTTAAAATGTGAAATTAACCAATGGCAGTCTGTCAATTTTGATCTGATCCCTTTTTTTTCTGTTTTCTGACCTTAAAGGAACTCCACTGAGGTCTAATAGCCTAAAATAAAAAAAATTTGAAATTCTTTCTTAAATCAACTGGTACAATTAAATTTAAAACCAAGCAATAAATAATATATAATTATACACGGTATTACATTGATAATCAAGTTTTATGTGATTCTTTTTGCCAATTTGAATGAAAAGTGTTGCAACGTTTTTTATTTTTTGGGCCACAATAAAAATAATTATTTCTGGGAAAAGGAGTGAGCGAATGATCTGAAATCTTGTACATGAGTTATTGGTCTACACATACATCTAGTTATACAAAAATCTTGAAAAAATATTGTCGGCACCTTCACGTCAAAAAACCTCAGTGGGAGTTCCCTTTGGGAGTTCCCTTTAAGTTCAGGATTTATTTTTCATGCCTGGTAAACAACAGAGCTATCTCTTTCAAAGGTATATGGTAAATAACTATCATCAAAATTTAAGTTTCCTGAAGACATTTTTCCAAATCTACATCATATAGCATTCTTCTATTTTAGATATTTGATATAGAGTTTGCAAAAATATATAACATTAGACAACACGTTACCTTTGTTGACACTTCAATTTGGTGACATGCACTAACTTTGAAGTTGAGACAGAGTGATAAATGGTATACCTAAGATAGAGATAGCTCTGTTGTTTACTGGGTGTGTAATTATGAAATGATGTATAAGAATCTAACTATATTTAATCAACTATATTAACTTCTATCACAGATGAACACTTATATGTGCGAGACTCTGGCAGTGACTCCACTTTGACCTCTGAATGACCTTGACCTTTGCCCTTGGCTTGACCTTTTACCAGCATTTTTATTTCAAATTTGTAGAACCCACTACAGGTAAACATAAACATGCAGGAATGTGAAATAGTGTCCTCCACTGATATCTGAAATTTAACAAGTTGAATGATAAAAGTAAGTAAATCTTTGGTTACAGTGAACAATAATATATAAATAAGACAATATGTTTGTTTGTTTCATTTTACGCCTTTTCCCAACAGTATTTCAGTCATATAGGCGGGTAGTTTCCTAACCATTGTTCCTGGAGAGTTACACCAGTACTAGACTACCTACCTCTGCGCTAAACAAAACAATACGTCACCAATCTAAAATTATGTCAAAAAGTTGAATGGTGAAAATTATGTCAACAAAATGGAAGAAAAAAATTGTGTCAACAAAATAGGTGAAAAATATTATGCCAGGAAAATGGGTGAAAAAAATTATGCCAACAAATTGAGAGAAAATATTATGTCAACAAAATAGGTGAAGAAAATCATGTCAACAAAATGGGTGAAGAAAATTATGTCATCAAATGGGATACAAGTTTAAAAGTTACCTTTGGAATGACTAGTGCCTGTGAGCCTATAGTACACACATAATTGTCAGTGTTATAATTAACCGTCCCATTATCACAATGTTGACAACAATATACTGTTAAAACTGCATCGTCATTCTCCAGGTCAGATTCTATATATGTCATAAAATTTAACAAATTTTACAATGTGACACATGATAATTTACTTCTTACTTTTACCTCTACACAAATGCTGCGGAAAAATTACTTCTACACAAATTCTGCGGAAAAACATTAATATTAAGAAAAAGATTATATACTGTATAAGTGGATATTTCCGTGTGTCAAAAATTAGCAAATTTAAAATTATATGCAAAAACTTAACTAAAGTGTGATGCCAACACCTTGGTGAGTACAATATGTACTCCTTATTCTTTGAATAGTCGAGCTAAAACCTAAGACATTCAAGTGACTATTTCATATTTCAATATTTTCTCCCTAGTCAGTATTATGTTTTTTCCGTCACATTTGTCAACTTGATATTTGTACCTACCTGGCTTTACATTGACTTCTACATCCACTTTTACCATTTGTCCTAACTTATACTCCAGCGAGCCTATATGTAACGGAGAAATCAGCTGACCGTTCAATCGAACATCTGAAAATACATGTACAAAGAGGTGTAGAGATTGAGATTTTTCTCCCATAATCACTCAACTATTTGAAACATTCTTTCACAATGGAATGTTAAGTGAAGAAATCTTACTACAGCTGTAGAAAATTCAAAACTTGTATCTGTAACCAGATTCAAGTGGAAGTTCTATGTACTTATACTTATACATATTAAAGATATACTATGCTTAAATTTGATAAATGAAAATATTAATAATTGCTACATGGCCCTTTTCTAAATACATGTATAAAATAAACATGTCTTGACTTCACACAAAAGTAGATATATTATGCTTTAAATCCTACACCCTATAACTTGACACACTGTGAATAAAAAGTGTCATTAAAAAAAAACAGGCAGTTTTTTTAAGAAAGGACAAGCTTTACTTGACCCCTAATAAGGAACGCAGATTCCCACACATAGTTTTGTATGCTCTTTTCTTCAAATAAGATATATTAGAATCAATAAGAATTCTATCAATTTCAATAAATTTCTGCAATAATTTTTTTTTTTACTCAGAGATGAGTTAAGCTGTTGTTTTTTTTTCCAGTGACATTTTGTTTATGACCAGTGTCTAACAAAACTTGCTTTCATTTCCTGATTTGCACAATAAATAAAATCTTCAAGAATTATAACTTCACAGCACAAGAGGGACTTATGGTAATTGTTCTAACAGTTAAAGTAAGAAAACAATATTATAATGAACAGGTGGGAAAATTGTCTCAAGACATATTGACTTACCCCAGGAAACAGGTGATATGTAAACTAGTTGTTGTTGTTCAGGTGTCCACAATAAGTTGTCTATACAAACTTTACCACTTACAGATAAAGATGGCTGAACCAAAGTTAAAGAAATTTTATCCCAAACTTTCTGTATCACATCATGAACTATTGTATGTTTGTTTGATTGGGTTTTACGTCACACCAACACAGTATAGGTCATATGGTGATGTTCCAACTTTACTAGTGGAGGAAGACCTCAGGTGACCTTCCGTGCATTATTTCATGCACGAACAGGCATGTGAGTAGAACCAACAACGTTCCGTAAGCTAGCTGGATATGAATTCTTTGTTTAAAATAATAATTATCCCAAAATAAACATATAAATATATTTTGAACATTGTTCAACAAGTTTGGAAAATGATTGCCCAAACAAACGGAACCAATTAGTTATTACGATATGCATGAATATAGATTAACACAGTGTACCGTTAATTCTCACTTGAAAATACTGGTATGTATTTTTTTGTCTATAGTTCATATTATTTAGAAGAAATAACGTATCTGATGAATTGATGTACCAACAAACAATTATGCTATCATTCTACCGATTTAAGCTTGAAAACCTTCAGGTCTATGTCCTATGTTAAATATGATATAATACATGACAATAGTTTAAAGGGATATTCAGGCAAAGTAATGACAAAAATATTAAAATGATCTTATGTACTCAAATCACGCTAAAATGACTTTTCTTGAAGTTTCAACATGAATTTCTGTTTAAATTCTATATTTTAAGGGTTTGAAGCATATATATATTTTATATATGTTGAACAATAGAATCACCAAATAGTTTTTAAACAAGTCAGATGACTTGAACAAACCCTTGAAGTTACAATAACAGATATTGTGGATATTGTATGATTGAAACAAGCCTAAGTCATTCATTTGACATGTTCTTTAACGTTTCCAGAGTTCACTTTGACAACTATTGTGAAATGCTAGCGCTCTAACCTGACCCACGCAGGTCAAGTTAGGAAACCACCATTTTATTCTTTATATGGAGAAAAGTTTTGTTCCTTTGACTGTCTAATATATTCATTTTGAGGGCATTTACAGAATAATGAATGAAAAATTCAAAACTAAGAAATGAAAATTTTGCCTGTGTCTCCCTTTAACCTTGGTTGGCTCAAACTATCGATCTCTCAAACAAATTTGCACAGGCTCTCCGAGGTCGGGCCAACAAAGATTAACATTATTTGTAAAAAATCTATATAGGTTCTTTTTTAAAATTACATCTTTAAGGGATATTACGCCCACCACTCAGCTTAATTTTAATGTTTTTCACAATTAAATAACTAGAAATGTGTCTCTAGGACAGGGATGTGCCCACATTTCACTTTTTTTGTGTGCCAGTCTACAAACAGACCATGTGACAATGGAACGAACAATCTTTAGTAGTAGAGCATAAAATGGAAATTCTCAGTCAACTTCAAAGAACAGCTACACTGTAACGTATTTTCTATAATTAGTTGGTTAAGTTAGTCAAACAAAGGATACAATTTCCCATCTAATGTCTACAAATGTGGCTAGGAATTGACTAAATTGAACACTAGAGTGTACATCTCCGTCAAACAGCTTTGGTTCACTACGCTCTATCTCTATACATATCCTGTACAAAAATACAACAATATTTGTGACTTAAAGGCTCAATATGCCTTAAAAATGCTTATTTTTTTATTTCCTAAAAGCTTTTATTTTTTGTTTCCAAAAAGTTACTCATAAGCAAATTATCTGGATCATCTGTTGCATCTGTTTCTTAATGACAATCAGTACAGTTATAGTGACTAAAGACCCTTTAACACAATTTTTTATGGTTTTATATCATAAATATGATGCTCAAATTAAGATTTATTAATATTGTAAGTTCCAAAAAGCATTATTTATAAAGATATTACCAAATTTAACATTTCATGTAAATAAAGGGAGGTAATTAGAAATGTATTTTCTATAAAGTCTAAGTCAAATTTTTCAATAAGAAATGATTGCATATATTTCAATGTGCACAAATATACTTAGTAATGTAAAACTAAAATTAATGCTTCTCAATGAAAATATTTACCTTTTAATTTGTTCATGTTTAAGGTACACACACTGGTTAGAATGATGAATTTCTAAATCATGATCAGATATGTTCTGTAGATCAAACAGTAAATAACAATGATCGGAGCTGAAATGTAACAAATAACATTGTGTTATGTATATATGTATGTAGTAATGACAGAGCGTAAAATGTCAGCTTTTTTTGTGTGTGTGTATTTGAGTTTATTTATACTTGCCACCAGTTGCCCATATGGGAGAGTCCTCCAGAAGAGTATTAGTCATTTTATATTTTGGAGGATAGTGCAAGATACAGAAAGATGCCCAAATTCCAGATGCTTCTCCTAGTTCTTTAACATGCCAAGTGTATAAGCACTCATACACCACTCATACAGGGGACCTCGATTTAGAGTCTCGTACGAAGGTTGATTAGTTATTTTAGTTGGCCAGCCCGGGAATAGAACCCACAATATCAAGATTACAAGTCTCCCGCTCTAACCAATTGAGCTATGCAGGCTGGCTTTTCTTTTCTTTTTTTTTTTGGGGGGGGGGGGGGGCAGATATCATAAGGGGATTTTTTAGCTTTACTGGTTGAGAGACTTCAGGTGTCCCCTGTGCAAGGACTTTAACCACAAATAGTAAAATAGTTTAAAAACTAACCTCTCTTATAACATAATATCATGTTATGGAACACAACAGAAGGCAAAATATCAACACTTAAGATACCTACCTCTCAGATAACATAACATCCCATTTATGGAACACAACAGAAGGCAAAATATCTACACTAAAGGCAATTGAGCAACATCTACAGAACTCTTCGTCTACTCCAGGTCGTCCAGAGTACTCCACCTTTAATATCGTCTCCACAACCTGCAGGTGAACATCATAAAATTACATGAAACTATGTCCACGAAACACAAGCAATATTGAAAAGGCAACTACTGTCTTTATTGGGAAATAATTTCAATATTTAATTTTTATCAATGAATTATATAGAGGATATCTGTTTGTTTTGCATGTAAGATTGAAACATATTTCACTGAATGAACACCAGATGCAATATTTTCAAGAGGGAGGTAGCCACAAGTGAAAATAGAAAAGCTGGTGTTCATGAATGAAATATATGTTTTAATCTTATATGTAAAACAAATAAATTTTCTTTTTATTTCATGCTTTTGAAGTGATTTAAAGTACTTTTTTACTGATTTTGCCACGTAATGTCGTGCATTCTCCTTTATGATCATCTGATATATTACAGTAAAACACTGGAAAGCATGAAATAAATTTTCTTCTTTCTAAAATAAAATTAATTTATAATTACACTGATAAAGTGATCCATGGTCATGTTAAAGGGATACTCAGGCAAATTAATGACAAAAATATAAAATTATCTTATGTACTCAAATCACGCTAAATTGACATTAATCTTGTAAAAGTCCCAGCATGAATTTCTGTAAGAATTCTATTTATTTTGGGTTTGAAGCGTAAATATATCTATATATGTTGAACGAAATTTCACTGCCGACTGAATCACCATGTAGCTATAAAACTAGTCATGTGACTTGAACAAACCCTGGAAGTTACATTAACAGATATTGTAGATATTGTATGATTGAAACAAACCTAAATCATTCATTTGACATGTTCTTTAACGTTTCCAGAGGTCACTGTGACAACTAATGTGAAATTTTTATGCTCTAACCTGACCCACGTGGGTCAAGTTAGGAAACCACCATTTTATTCTTTATAAGGAGAAAAGTTTTGTTCCTTTGACTGCCTAGTGTATTCATTTTAAGGACACTTACAGATTAAAGAATGAAAAATTCAAAACGAAGAAATGAAAATTTTGCCTGTGTCTCTCTTTAAAATTCTTTCATGTGGTTTATATGTTCCTGATTAAAATATGTTTATCATTAACCTATCATATCAACCTAAAACAATGTTTTTCTCTCTCAAAACTGTTTAATTTTTTTAGCTTAATGTAAAATCTAGAGGCGGTTTGACCGGTCTCAATACTTCTGACTGACTTTAAATTTAACTTACCTTTCCCTTCCAAACTAATGCCCCTGTTCAAACTGTCTGATGAAGTTTTCACACAACCTGAAATATCCATCATATTTCTTACATATTGACAGCTGCATCATAGTATTTTATGTCTAACCTCATCAAACAACAAATGTGCAAACTTTGTCACTCTTACCCATCAAGTTCATAGTTCAAGTTTGTTCGTTTTTGGATTTTAAGTCCAATCGAAACTCTAAAATGTCCAATCGAAAGTGTAAAAGGTCATAATTATGACTACTGACCATCTGGTGTAAGAAGAACTTCAAGAACCCTTTTGTGTATTATTTCAGGCACCCGAGTGACTGAGTAGAACCAAAGACTTTCAGTAAACTTTCTTTGATAGCTCATCCACTCTTAACTATCAAGCTCATGCCTTTCAACTAAAATTTATTTATTTTTTAAATTCTAAACATGTTTTTAAATGCTCAAAATGTGTTTAAATACTAAACATGTGTTTAAACACTAAACATGTGTGTAAATACTCAAAATGTGTTTAAATACAACAAATAAAACATATTTACCTTTGGATGACAAGAGAAATTCACCAACAGCATTTATGGCTAAGTTAAAGCAAAGTAGTTGAGATACTTGTAGAGGCAGCTGAGAATCAATGTTCTCTTTATTCCATTTAAAAACATCACAAACATAATCTGTAAACACAATGATAACCTGTAATGTGACTACTCAAAGCAATTATTATTTCTTATAAATGTAGTCAAACAGCAAATTTTTACAAAGTCAAGGGCAATAACTCTACATATACATAATTTGGAAGGCCGTCAAATTGTACTTTAGAAAATCAACAGAAATAAAATGGAAAGATTTATAATTTTTTATAAATGTAGTCAAACAGCAAATTTTTTACTAAGTTAAGGGTGATAACTCTATACATAATTTGAAGGCCGTCAAATTATACTTTACAAAATCAACAAAATAAAATGGAAAGACTGACAGAAAGGGTAAAAGCAATCCTTTGAGACATGCATAGACATAATAGATTTAACTTACAGAATAAGTCCTTGAAAAATTGATTAACTGAAATAAAAAATACCTTTATTGTCGCGGGTAGATTCGAGACTGACATTAACCAGTTCAACTGGAAGTTTACCACTATTCTGTAATGTCACTGTACACTCTGAACTAGAAACAAAAATATAACATAAACATTAATTAGTTAGATAGATATTCCTGTAAAAGAATTCTGTATCCATTTAAGATTACACTTATGTACAGTATAACCAGTCCTACGCATAAACCATTCCAGCCTGCTGAATCTCAGTAAGGGCTTATCAGCTAGTAAAACACTATTAACTGTATGTCTCCCATTAACAGGTCCACCGAGTTAAGAGTTTTGTCATAATTTATTGCCCCTCTGTATTCTTATCTAATGGCCCCAACTTTGAAGGATCAAATTTCTTTAGAAGATACACTCACTAAATTTATCAATGTTTTTTCTCCTTTCTTTTGTAAATGGGTCTGTGGCCCAATTGAAACATAGCAATTTTTGTAAATATACTTCATAACATACGATAATTTTTTTAATTAATAATAAATAAAGTTCAATACTGACTGAACAGTGAACTCCCCACTCGGCCCGCTAAAAAACAAAAGACTGTTCATAGATTTAACTTTTACTGCAAAGACATTAATGCCTAGTTATTTAAATATCATTCCATGCATGACAAACTTATAGTCCGGACAGGAATGAAGTGGGGACGCACAAACAGACGGACGTCCCAACAGACAGAGGGACGGTGCGATTTTATTATGCCTCCCTTTGGCGGCATAAAAATGTTTCTTATCAACACCTATATCAGGTGCGATTAGATTTATAACTCAAGTCCTGTATTTCTAGAATTATCTCCATTTTATTTTTGAATGAGGGATTTATTAAAAATCAATATATTTCTAAGAATCATCTTTGTTATTATAAATGTCATCAACTCTAGACTTAAGATAATGTTCCTTTGTCATTACTTACATCATGCATGACAAGGTTTTTAACTCTAGCATCCTTATTTCAAGAGATATTTCCTCTTTGAACTTAGAATTTTACTTTAAAAACTTTATTTTCTTTTTTTTTTTTTAAAAATTCACATTCATGAATGATAAGCTTCAATAATGCTTTGAATCAATTATTATTATTACTTAACATTATTTTCCCCTTTTGAAAAACAGAAAAAGAATGTAAATCACTGAGGTATGATATGCCTTTAAGGTGACAATGGAGTCAATTATCACTGAAAATACCTAAAAAGAGATTTTTTGCTTAGCATATTTATTAACCTTTTCTGAAAACATTCGTGATTTAATTTTTGAAGCAGTTAGTCCAAAAAATGTGTTTTTAAACGTTTTAAAACGGTACCTATCCCATTTTTATCTGCTATTCGCGTAACCTGTCCATTATCGATAACGCTCCGCCCCTGTTGGGGCATCAATGAGGGAAAATCGGTAGTTCCATATATCCGTGAATTACCACTCCATACTACTCGTAATACATGTATCGTACAAATACTGTACATCTTTATGAATATCTCAACATTTTTATCGTCTACCTTTTATTTAGCCTTTTTTTTTTATATAAATTAAGAAATTGTCGACCAATGTACGTAACATAATGTATGTAACATAAGTAATTAAGCATAGCTGTAAATCGCACGACCACGGGGTTGATTAAACAAGAGCTGTCCGTAAGACAGCGCGCTCGACTTTTTTATTGCTTGCCAATAAAAAAAGTTTTTGCAGTAAAAGGCAATACAAGAATCTCTGTATTTTTAAAGTGAACAATGGCCATGAGCATTAAGATATTTAGTGAAGAATTATTTTACTGAATTGTGTGATACCCTTGAACACTGCAGCAAAGTTTGAAATGTTTAAGTCAAAAGAGGGCTGGTAAGAAAGAAAAAAAAACTGAGTTGAGCCTTAAATAAATTTAATTCTAAGTCGATAAAAGGCCTTAATTTTTAAAACAAATCCTTGACAGAGTTACCTTCTCTTGCGTACAGATGGGGGTAATGATGTGAAATAGCATTAAAAGTTTCAAAGCAATATCTCAAAGGGTAAGGCAATAAGTGGATTTTACCCATATTCAATGTATTTTCTAAGTCAAAAAGGGGCATAATTCTGTCAAAAACCTTGACAGAGTTATGTCCTCTTGTCTGTTGATGAAGGTCGTGATGGTAAACAAGTATGGTCAGTTTCAAAGCAATACCTCCAATGGTTTTGAAATAAAGTGAGGTGGTACAAAAAACTTAACCAAGCTCAATACACTGTCTAAGTCAAAAAAGGGCCATAATTCTGTCAAAAACATTGACAGAGTTATGTACTCTTGTCTGTAGATGGAGGTTATGATGGTGAACAAGTATGGTAAGTTTCAAAGCCATACTTGTAATACTTCTGAAATAAAGTGGGGTGGTACGAAAAACTTAACCAAGGTGTGACGCCAACGCCAACGCCGACGCCGGGGCGAGTAGGATAGCTCCCCTTTTCATAGAAAAGTCGAGCTAAAAATGTAGTTGCTAAAATATCATTCCATAATGTGTGAAATAATAATTTGTTTGTCCTGTTAATCTGATAGATATTACATTGACTTTATGGACTTTTGTACGGATTCAAGGGATTGCTTTACATTCAAACTAGTTTTCTAACAATGTCTAGTAAAACAACAACAACAAAAACAGACATAATTTATAAATGTGAACGCCTATTTGACTTGTGGTAAGGGGTCCATGACAAATTTCTAAACCATTTTTACCATTGTCTAAGGATGATTATTTCTCTATGAATCAATAAAAAAAGATATTAAAATATATTACCAGTGAATGCTTTGAATAAATTGTCCGCCAGTAAATCGAACACAGTACTAATAAACCTGGGACAAAGTATAAAATTTATTGTCTATCCCGGTAGAAACTGGATCTCTATGCCTTGCATAGATGATATTCATGATAATAGAAGTCAAGAAGGCCAGATCATAATGATCGAGTAATACCTTTTATTTTTATTAAAATATGTGAAGCATTATCAATTTGGTGGAAAAAAAATATATAATATCCCGTTCTTATTTGTATACATCTACAATGGACTTTAAAGACTGTCAGAAGCTCAGTTTTTTGTTATTTTATTTTATATTTAACGGAATTTTCATACACAGGCAGAGTGACAGTGGTATAAAACAATAATAATGCTGATGATAATAATAATAAACTTCAAAAAAAGGAAACAATAAAATACCCCGCTAGCGTGGCGCAAATGCGTTCCATTTCCCCCACTGAGTGCCTCAAATTTTACCGATAGTCACGTGACATGTGCGACAGATACCCAGACGAACAGTAAATCACGCTTAAGAATTGAAGAAATTTCGGCTATAAACTGATATTAATCAGCAGCTTTTAATTTGGTCAGATGTCACTGGGTCATAAAATGTTGTTAGAGTATGTTACCGCAACTTGTGACCCTCTCTGGTGCGATATTTGTGTATTATGCAATTATTTAGCGTGAAACGTAGGGGTCCGAGAGAGAACAGCCGATTTATGACACTTCGTTTGATGCGGGGGCGGACTAACTTTGAATCGGCATAACTTTTTTAATAATCAAGGCAATTAACATGCGTTTAAAGCACATGAAAGGAAATTCATTTACGGAGGGAACCGTGTCAGGGATTTTTTGTTTGCTCAAATCAGCCGACTTAATTAATCTTTAATTACGTAATATGTATGGTGAAAAATCGTCGCCATAAAATGTTTGACGTTACGTAATTTTTTTTGAGAAAAAGATAGAAAAAATTTGAGACACGGTTCCCAGATAATATAAGTATGGTTATTTTCCAAAAGTTTGATGACAAAAAAATAAAAAATGACTTTGATATGACAATTTAAAATTTTAGGATTTTTATTCAAAATCAATCATTTACAAAGGCATTTTTTTCAAATATGTTTTTTTTTATGATGATCAACGATATTTAATGCACAAAGATGAAATAAATAACAATTATTACTAAAATAACTTGGTTTAAATGACATTTATGTGAGTACCACGGAAAGTGTCTGTTGTCACCTTAACATGAAAGTAATTTACACAATTATTTTCATTGTGAGTTGTAAGTGATTGAAAACCTTTTTTTGCTGTAATCTAATTTTTATTTGTCTTTAACTATATGTATCTCTTTACACTAAAAAGTTAAATCTTTGTTTTTCGTTACATCTAAAATGTTCTCTATGTCTTCCAGCTTAAACTATACATTCTTGAAACATGATAGGATCATAAAACATTCAAGGGTGCTGCTATCAGTAATACAGTGACAAACCATGTAATTATAATTAAATGCTCATCACTGACCAGAGATAGGAAATTTTGGGGAAAACTGGAAATCTTGGGTTTATGCGTAGGACTGTAACATTTCATTATGAACCCAACTGTTTACTAGAAAAACAGATTTTAACAAACGTAAGCTTCCCAATTTAAAATAGATCATTCATCCTGCTCTAATAACAATAATACACTTAGACAAAGGACATGGATGTCCTGGCAATATAGAATTTAAGTTGGCAAGCATTAGCATTGACTTCTTTCAATTGTGAAATCCAATCAAACATATATAGATGTTCGGACTCATAAAACTGCACTTCCCTTGTATGAGGAAAACACAAAGATTATTCTTTCAATGTGATCTTGACATTTGATCTTGGAACCTAAGGTCTTGCACATCACACACCATCTTCTAATAATGGCCATGTGAACCAATTTATTTTGAAATCATGTTGTGCCTGCAGAAGTTATGAACTGGACAGAAAATATTAACTTTCTTCAACACATATTTACAGATAAAGGTAACTGTAAATGCAACCCCCCACCCCCATGCTATCCTCACATTTTATGGCATAAAAATTCAAGATTTTTCATCATATTTCTAGGTATTTCTTATGTTATTGAACTTTTCTAGTGCTAAATGCCCTATGCAACAAGTAAAGCATGCAGTTTGGTTGGATTTGCACAGACTCCCTTCACTCTATACAGAGGTTATTACTTTTTATAGAGGAAATTGAAGTCACATCAACATTGAAGGTGACATAGTGATCATTTTCATTAACACGCCTATAGTATAACGCTAATTTTTAGCGCATTGTGACGCTATGTTTATTAAACGCAAATGACGTCACATCAAAATATATGCACAGCCGTGCAATACCATTTTTACGGAGTCGCAAGAGCACCACAGGTATGTGATTAATTAATAAACTTAATGATTTAAATCTGACCTTTGTCCCATATACAATACAGCTGTCGCACTTGTCACCATGTTAAACTCCTCTCCGAATGAGAGGAAGTTGGCAGATTTTGGCAGAGAAGATGTCAAGTTTATTTGAGGTAAAGCTGGAATCACCGTCACTGTGAAAAATGACTCCGGAAATGTTGCACAGTCTCGTAAACGACAATTGCTTTTTGCACCATATACCTTAGTGCTGTAACCTGAAATATATTATCATTATCATATAAATACAAATGCATACATTAAGTATATATTAAGTATACATTAAGATATTTTTAAACAAACAATAAATTTCGTGGGTGAAATTTGTAACTTTTAAAAATTATCCATTAACATTCTATCAAACACCAAAAGCTGTTGCTAGGACAGCTATCTTGACTATTCTTAGTACTTGATAGTAGAACAAGAGCCTGGATAATGTAGAATTTTCCAAGTTCTAAAAAGGCATAATCCATGTAAGAGATACAGGCCTTACAAAGTGACCTTTTATTATGCTCTGGCATAAGTGTGTGAAGTTTTAATCTATTCCCTTCATTAGTTTTGAAGATAACAACTTGCATGCAAAAACTTTAACCAAGTGTTATACCGACAACTGGGTAAGTACAATAGCTCTCCTTAACCTTTAACAGTCGCGCTAAAAATCATTAACAGTTCCAGTTTTTTGCAGTTTAAAGTCAAAATATCCTTTAACATATTCACTAATTTTTCTAATTCATCTTCTTTACACTTTTATTTGTTTGTTTTTACGTCACACTGACACAGTATAGGTAATTCGGCGACGTTCCAGCTTTTCTGTTGGAGGAAGACCTCAGGTGCCCTTCCGTGCATTATTTCAGGCATGAACGGACACCTGAGTAGAACCACCGACGTTCCGTAAGCTAGCTGGATAGCTTCCTCTCATGAAAAAATCCAAAGTCCCTGTTGGGATTCGAACCCACAGCGGTGAGGGGCAAGTGGTTTAAAGTCAACGACTTTAACCCCTCGGCCATGGACACCCCACACATATTTATTTGTAATTTAAAGAACACACACCAAATAGCAATAGCAAACATATTGACATTTATATACAAAGGAAACATTTTATGGTTAGAAATATTTCAGCAAAACAAAAACACACACCTAGTATTTTAAGATCGCCTGTTGACGTGGGCCGCACCAATATTTTAACAAGATATGATCCGGACTCGGCGGGAATGCTGGGAGCAGTTGGGACAGATTCGATCTCTACACCCTCAGTGATCAGCGTAATCTGAGATAGCTTCAGTTCATCGGGCATGGGATTACTGACTTGCAACTGTACCTCGGCCATGTCGCCTTCTACCCATTTAAAATCTGTAAATACAATCGAACAAATATAATACATGTACAATACAATCAATCCTGTGGTAAAAACTAACTCAGAAACAAAGACCACATTGAGGACAAATACAGTTAAAGTCTGCAATAATACTAACATTTTTATATAACATATTAAAGCAGATAGACTGAGGACCAAAAGCATAAAAAACATCAAATTTGAAAATCTTACAAAAATTAACTGGGGCACTTAAAACCAAAAAATATTTCATAAAAAAATATTAAATGGATGATGATTTAGTATGAAAGATTAATAAATATAATTTATGTAAGACTCATGTGATCCGTCTTATAGGCGAGTAAAGGTACTCAGAATTAAATTTTATATTTAATGTGATTCTTAGCCTGATTTCAGTCGAAAGGATTCAAATGCTTAATTTAATTTCAACCTCATTTTGCACAATAAAAATATATAATATGAGCCATGTCATGACAAAACCAACGTAATAAGTTTGCGACCAGCATAGATCCAGACCAGCCTGCGCATCCGCGCAGTCTGATCAGGATCCATGCTGTTCGCTATCAGTTCTCTACTTGTTATAAGGTTTGTAAGCGAACAGCATGGATCCTGATCAGACTGCGTGGATGCGCAGGCTGGTCTGGATCCATGCTGGTCGCAAACCCATTATGTTGTTTTTGTCATGACACAGCTCATGTTCTAACAAGAGGGCCATGATGGCCCTGAGGTCGCTCACCTGTATATAGGCCCCCGGAGCGGGGCCAGTTTAAACCCCAGGCTTTTATTTGAGCAAACTTGGAAGACACCATTAGAAGATGTTTCATGATGTTAAGGTTTTACTACACACATATAATGAAAAACAATGACCGCCTCCCCACCCCCCCCCCCTTTGGCAGGAGGAATTTAAACCCAAGGGCTTTTATTTGGACAAACTTGGTAGACACCAACAAAAAGATGTTTCCTGCTTAAAATCTAACCTCTAGCTCATTGGGTTTTTTAAAAAAAGAAGATTTTTTAAGTTTTTACTATACACATATAGTTAAAATCAATGACCCCCTGGGGCGGGGCCAATTTTGACCCCAGGGCTTTTATTTGAACAAACTTTTATAGACACCCATTAGAACATGTTTCATGCTAAATATCTTAGCTCTAGCTCTTTGGGTTCTTTAAAAGAAGATTTTTTAAGTTTTTACTATATGCATATAGGGAAAATCAATGACCCCCTGGGGCGGGGCCAATTTTGACCCCAGGGCTTTTATTTGAACAAACTTTGTAGACACTCACTAGAAGATGTTTCATGCTTAATATCTAAACTCTAGCTATATGGGTTTTTTCAAAGAAGATTTTTTTAAATTTTGCTATACACATATAAGGAAAATCAATGACCCCCGGGGCGGGGCCAATTTTGACCCCAGGGCTTTTATTTGAACAAACTTTGTAGACACCCATTTGAACATGTTTCATGCTAAATATCTTAGCTCTAGCTCTTTGGGTTCTTTAAAAGAAGATTTTTAAGTTTTTACTATATGCATATAGGGAAAATCAATGACCCCATGGGGCGGGCCAATTTTGATCCCAGGGCTTTTACTTGAACAAACTTGGTAGACACCCATTAGAAGATGTTTCATGCTAAATATCTTAGCTCTAGCTCTATGGGTTCTTTAAAAGAAGATTTTTTAAGTTTTTACTATATGCATATAGGGAAAATCAATGACCCCCTGGAGCGGGGCCAATTTTGACCCCAGGGCTTTTATTTGAACAAACTTGGTAGACACTCACTAGAAGATGTTTCATGCCAAATATCTAAGCTCTAGCTCTTTGGGTTTTTTAAAAGAAGATATTTAAAGAGTTCTGCATGGAATTAAATTCTTTGAACAATTTTTAAAGGTGACCACCAAAGGAACATTCCTGTGAAGTTTGGATGAAATTGGCTTAGTGGTTTATGAGGAGATGTCATTTAAAGTAAAAGTTTACGGACGGACAGACGCCGGACGAAAAGCGATCACAAAAGCTCACCCTGTCACTTTGTGACAGGTGAGCTAAAAAAACAGAGGCAAATGATCTTAAATTTTGAATGAACTTTGAATGAATTCAAAGCAGGGCAAATACACAATCTGATTAAAATCAGCTCCTCATTAGGGTCTGACATCCACCCATAGGTAGTCACCTTCTCGTGGCCTTTCAAACAACCAATCATTGGCAAGCTTTCATTATTTTGAAAGCTATGCGGATTCTTATTTAAACTCTTGGAAAACCAATACAGAGTAGGTAATTGCCACCATTTCGAGAATAAACATGGCAATGTCCATATAGCTCACAGGTAAATTGGCAATACAATCTTGCCAAATAAAAACTGACTCTATTATTTTTAAGTTAATTCGTTAGAAATATATTTGGAATATTTTGGAATATATCGGTCATATAATAATGATTCTAGGAAAAACTGTAATAAAGTGCGATGTAACACTGCGGAACTTTGGGAACTACTGCAGTAAGTCTAAGTGATTGATAACTTACCCATATGAGTTTTTAAAGCACCAGTATCAGTTGCACCGATGTTAAGTGGTGTAAATATAAACACATTATCTGGCACCACCTGTACGGACTGTAATTTCTTTGGTTCTAGGTGATTTTGAAGTGGCATTAGTTTGAATGATCTGAAAATAAACATGGGCAAAATGAATATACAATGCACACCGGATACAACAAGATCGTCGGGACTTCGCATGATCCCTCGTTATAACCGATATCTCACTAAAACCGATCTCATTATAAACAATATAAAATGAAAGGAAAAAAAGAAGGAAAAAGGACCGGACACCAGTAGTGTGTACATTATAAGAGGTACCTCTTTAAAACCAATCTCGTTATAAGTGGAGTAGACTGTAGTTCTATAAATACTGTTCTCTGACTGTAAAGTAGCTTGACTGATTTGAACATTGTACACATGTAGACAAAATATTTATAGTTCTATTAAATATGGTTCAGAGTTAACATGAGGAGGCGGTTGTATGCAAAATGAATGTTTTAAATGCATTTTGGGCTGTTTCAAAACACTAATTGTTGTACAAGATCCAATATTACATACATTTTTATAGCAGATAATAAAATATTATAGCACAAAATATTATGATTGATCATATAAATGCTCATTTTAGGTCGCTCCGAACTATATAAACATTTTTTTTTTTCAAACAACTTTTTATAGTATATATCCAAATGATTCATTTCTATTTCTTTTATCAATATTTGAAAAATTTATGGTAAAATGTGCTCATTGTAGTCCTATCCACTTTAACTGTTTTAATTTATTTTTCCTGATTTTGGCTGCATAGCATCTTGTGCTCTCCTTTATGACAAGGAGAGACAGATGCTCTGACTTACTTGACAAGTGGAAGAGTGAGAAGTGGGACATGGGGTACAATCACACCAGAGTCTAGGGCCAGTGGCTGTGTGGTCCCCTCATGCTGTGAGGTGAAGTTCTCGAGGCTCGCCACCAGCTCGCGTTTCTCCTGTACTGTCATATACTGTAGCTGGGTGTGCAGTAAGATTGTCATGTACCTGTAAAATACATCCAGTAAACAGTTTACCATAGCAAGCAAATGCACACAAACTTATGCACACATACATGTCACATAACATGGGTGACATTATTTTATTAACAGTTGACTTCTGAATATATTTATTAAAGATTATAGATAATATCAATATGTCTAAATACAGTATACTCAAATTTTGTAATAACAATGCATAATGCTGCACCTCTACTATCGACATTTTCTGAGAAAAAAATTGTGGATATATGAAAGTTGAATCTTAAAATATCTATTTATGTAACCCAGCTCAACCAAAAATGCACTGCTTTTTGTAGAATTGGTCAGCTTCACACATAAACAAATATATTACATGAATTATTGTTGTTTGTTTTGTTGAATTGGGTTTTACGTCACACCGACACAGTATAGGTCATATGGCGACGATCTAGCTTTACTGGTGGAGGAAGACCTCAGATGCCCTTCCGTGCATTATTACATGTATTAAGATGACCATTAAAACTAAAACGGAGTTATAATGCTAACATTTAGAATGTTGAGAATGTTGATAATAAAACGTTCCGAGGTAAAACGTATAATACTAGTGTAATATTCACCTTATAGCTAGAGAAACATTGCCCATTCTCCGAGCGGAGTATATTAACTCATGTAACACCCTCATCTGTAACACTGGCCAGCCATTCATATATCCTGAATTATAAAACAATAATAAGTAAATAAAAAAGTTTCATATATCCAGAAATGTAAGTAAGTAAACAAAGTAAAAGTAAAAGTAAAAGTAAAGTAAAGTAAAGTAAAGTAAAGTAAAGTAAAGTAAAGTAAAGTAAAGTAAAGTAAAGTAAAGTAAAGAAAGTTAGTAAGTCTTACTTCAGTGAGATGTGCTATTTTACAACAAGAGCTGTCCGTAAGACAGCGCGCTCGACTTTTTTATTGCTTGCCAATAAAAAAAGTTTTTGCAGTAAAAGGCAATACAAGAATCTCTGTATTTTTAAAGTGAACAATGGCCATGAGCATTAAGATATTTAGTGAAGAATTATTTTACTGAATTGTGTGATACCCTTGAACACTGCAGCAAAGTTTGAAATGTTTAAGTCAAAAGAGGGCTGGTAAGAAAGAAAAAAAAACTGAGTTGAGCCTTAAATAAATTTAATAGTATTAAACCCACTTTGAGAGAATAAGGTATTTTTACGTCACTCAGAACACCTTGGTAAATGACATAATAACATAATTTTTCAAGAAATCTATGCCAAGGAAGCAGTATATTTTTGTACAATCAGCATAATATATAGATTTGACTTTGTATGTGAAAAGTATTATAGTTACCTTATAATACAAGTAATAGATAAATTTTATCAAGTGGACTGGTACTAAAAACTTAACCAAGATTCTAAGTCGATAAAAGGCCTTAATTTTTAAAACAAATCCTTGACAGAGTTACCTTCTCTTGCGTACAGATGGGGGTAATGATGTGAAATAGCATTAAAAGTTTCAAAGCAATATCTCAAAGGGTTAAGGCAATAAGTGGATTTTACCCATATTCAATGTATTTTCTAAGTCAAAAAGGGGCATAATTCTGTCAAAAACCTTGACAGAGTTATGTCCTCTTGTCTGTTGATGAAGGTCGTGATGGTAAACAAGTATGGTCAGTTTCAAAAGCAATACCTCCAATGGTTTTGAAATAAAGTGAGGTGGTACAAAAAACTTAACCAAGCTCAATACACTTTCTAAGTCAAAAAAGGGCCATAATTCTGTCAAAAACCTTGACAGAGTTATGTACTCTTGTCTGTAGATGGAGGTTATGATGGTGAACAAGTATGGTAAGTTTCAAAGCCATACTTGTAATACTTCTGAAATGAAGTGGGGTGGTACGAAAAACTTAACCAAGGTGTGATGCCAACGCCGACGCCGGGGCGAGTAGGATAGCTCCCCTTTTCATAGAAAAGTCGAGCTAAAAATACATATCAATTTCACAACAAATACAAGCACCCGGCTCAATTGGGCCTACAAGTCATCTATTTTTCATTAACAATTATATTATTAGCATTAAAAGGCATGTAGAATTTAAACACATAGTATGTTTGTTATTTTAAGTCAAAGGAGCAGATGCAAATAAATTGCAAAAATGCAAATTGATAAAGTAATACAACGTAAAACAAGACCTTGAGTAATGTAGAATTGTCTTAGTGCAAAAAGGTCGATATTTCTGTCAATATCCTGGTTAGAATTATGGCCCTTTAAAAGTGACCCCCTATTGTACTTTCAAATAAGTGTGTGAATTTTCAAGCCACTCCCTTCTGTAGTATTGGAAATACCAACTTGGATGCAAAAACTGGACCAAAGTGTGACACTGACACTGGCATGAATAGAATAGTTTTCACTATTGTTTGAATAGTCAACCTAAAAGCTGTGTGAAAAAAAAAACATGAAAGATCTTGGTAGCATACAAGGAGAAGGTAACTCTGACCTGGTTTTGTTGTTGAATCAGAAGGGTCGAGGTATATCCTGTAACCCTCTAAAGCTTGAACCAGTAACTGATGACAAACAACCCAGTTTGGTTTAGGGTTTTGAGGGGCCACGCACTGCATGGCTGCCACTCGTTTGAAGAATGATGCCTTTCTTTTGAATCCTATTTGAGCATATAGCGTTGATAACGTACTGTATCGGTTAATCTGTAATAATAATAAAATATTCATAAAATTAAATGCACATTGAATACTTAATAAAACTGTGTTTTTAATCAACGATATTGTTATACTTGTAATTTTTTATATATTTTGATTAGATTTTAATTCACATCAGCACATTTTAAAAGTCAAACAGCAACTTTCCAGCTTTACTGGTGGAGGAAGATCTCAGGTGCCCCTCTTTGCATTATTTCAGGCATGAACGGGCACCTGATTAGAACCATTGAGGCTCTGTAAGCTAGCTGGATAGCTTCCTTGCATGAAAAGCCCAAGTCCCTGGCTGGATTCAAACCCACAGTGGTGACGGGCCAGCTTTAACCAACTCTATCAAAGTTCACATGACAAAATTGTTGTATCATTTTAATTTGATTTATTGTCTAGAAACAACTTGTTAACTGTACACATGAAACATGAAAAGAATACCAGAGTGATATTTATCAAATACATGTACCTGCTCTTGCTAATGGTATTACACAGCCGTGCATATATTTTACTGTGATGTCATTTGTATGAACATAGCATTAAAGCGCACTAAAATGACTAAATGATAATGTTTCACTCTAAGCATGCCAATGAAAAAGTGATTTTTTTTTTACTGTAAACAATTCTTATTTTGGATATGTGATAATTAGAATATTATATTCATGTACTGAATTACTCATTGAATAAAATAGTATGTGTATAAATATATATATATAAAGTTAAATGTCAAAGTAAAAACTAAATACATCTATATGAGTAAAATATGAGCTGAACAATGACAAAACCAACATAATGTCTTTGCATCCACGCAGTCTGACCAGGATCCATACTGTTTGCTATCAGTTTCTCTACTTGTAATAGGGTTTGTAAGCCTGATCAGACTGCGCAGATGTGCAGGCTGGTCTGGATCCATGCTGGTCTCAAGCCCATTATGTTGGTTTTGTCATGGCGCAGCTCAATTATAAGCAAAGATACATACCCTATCTTCATCACTCAACTGTAGGTTAATGTACACAACATTCTGTAGGAAATCTGATGCTTGTAAATATTTCTGAAAAGACATAAAATTGAAAATAAAGAATAATCCATACCAGGGCTCAAAGCATTGCAAAATTAATAAATTATGTATATAATTATGATACTCAGCCCTGCGCATTTTGGTATTTAACCTTTACTGCCATAGAACTTGAATCTTTCTTAAATTCCAGACGCCACCCCCTCGCTGATGCCACTCGCTCCCTGATGCCACCCCCTCCCCAACCTTCTTGGCAGAATTGACAAAATTACTGACTGACAGTCATTTTACTTCCTGACAGTCTTATATTGTATACAGTTCAAGAAAACAATTCAGGCACAATAGAGGACAGTAAATAAAACTATTTCAGGCACATTACTTGAGGTTGAAGGAAATTTTTCATCTTTTTTTTTATTATTTTTTTGTAGTAAAGTGAAATCATGTGCTTGAATAGTCAGAAATTCTAACACTCTTTCTTCTTTCCTTTTAAAAAATTGCTGATTTTCTCAAGAAACATGATTTTTATTATATATGTATAGCAAATTTATTGCTGTTTATGAAACTGCTAAATGTTTTCCTGCTGATGTGAAAGAAAAAATATAATATGTTGGTTTGTTGTTAAGGTCACAAAATAATGTATTTGTAACATAATTCAATTTTGTGTGAGCAAAAAAAACAAATTTTTTTCAAATTTGCCTTCGAAGGACATAGTCCACAGTAAAATTTACAAAATTAGGAGATATATTTTTCTGCATAAATTTATTCAAACAAACGGTCCCAAATGCTTTATGTATGATCTTACAATGATGTTCAATGTTTTAAGTCAATTTAATATAATGCAGCAAAATAGTTGGAAGAAAACAGAAATCTTTTTATCTAATTTAGCATCATGTAATAAATCCCTGCTTCTTTGTCTTAATGGTATCAGAAACTGAGATGTACAAAGATCCATGACTGTATTATCACCTAGCAATCCTCTTTCCTCCCCCCACCTTAACCCACCTCCTAAAACGTTTTACCCCTCTCTCTCTTTTTCTATCACATTATCCTTGTTATGCACATTCCAACACTGATTGTACATTAAAGGGAACATAAGGACTTGATCTTTAATATTTAATTACTTTCCAAACAGAGGGATAATCTGGCAAACACTGTAATTGATCCTCTAATAAAAACTGGCTACCTGGCATAATGACCAATTAACTCAAGTGTTACAGTGTTGACAAATTTTACACCTGTTTGTTTGATGTTAATGTTAACATGTGTGACAAGGTGCTTGTTTATATTTGAAATATTATATTAAATCTTAATTGTCCATTTTAGCTGCTCCTTTCCTTTTATTTATAAACTTTTTCTTTTCTTTTTTATTCTGTACTTTTCTTTTCATTTTTTTTTTCAAAACAAGATTCTATTATAAAGAATTATTATCTAGCTGTATAAATATGCTTTTATTGTACCTGTTTCAGGCAGATCTGTATAGTTTAGTAAGCATTATAAGATGAATTGTAGATAATAAATTATAATATTCCCAGGAAGCTTGGCAAAAAATGTTTATATATTTCCTAAATTTAAATTTAATTATTGATGGATTTTCAACAATATTTCCCAAAATTTTAGAAATGCATCTTTTAACTATTTAAATGCATCTTTTGACTATTTAAAAAAAAACATCTTTTAAATACTGAACTACATCTTTTAACTATATTAATACATATTTTAACTATTCAAATAACAACAGGCAAAACTTTAAATAAATCAATATTGTATAAACTACAAAAACTTTCTGTAACATTGCCTTGTATCAGCTTCTGTTGTTGTTGTTTTAAATACTTATTCCTTACAAATGTTTTTATTTCACACACTGCATTAACGGGACTCCACTGAGGTTTTTTTTAAATTTTGTTTGTTTGTTTTATTTTACGCCTTTTCCCAACAGTATTTCAGTCATATAGGCGGGTAGTTTCCTAACCATCGTTCCTGGAGAGTTACACTGACTAGATTAATAATATCTGTCATATGTTACGGTTCGGACCAGAATATCAGTCCCGAGGTGACCCGCCCATGGGCGGGTTACCGAGGGACGGATATTCCAATCCGAACCGCAAACATATGTCAGATATTTTTTCTTGCATATTCTACAATATTCCATTATAATTTAAATTCTTTTTATAATTTAAATTCTTTATCTTTATTTTCAACGGAAATTTATATCATTACAGCCGTAACTATTTTCTTACAACGGCGTATGCAATTGCAACTTCATTCATAACGGTAAAATGACGTCATCCTAAGCGTGCCATTGTACAGCACGCGACTCATCTGGCACCCCCCATGCCAGATGAAATTTCCGGCATGGGTAAAACACACTGAAACGCCAGTCTGCTATGCAAGAAATCGGAATATTCTTCTGATATTTGTTAACAGTATTGGTCCAATAACATATGTGCAATTTTTATATTCATTCCCTTTCGCATTTCTTGTTTTTTGTTGTTTTTTTTGCCTTCAGATAATTCATTTCTATAGTTCAAAAGTATGTTCCAAAATTTAAAAGCATTGCAATGCTTTTCACTCAAATTGTACAAAAAAAATGAATTCATCACTAATTCAATTCATATTTAAATATATTTGTATGGTTATAAATATTGTTTGTATTTAATGCCAATAAAATATTTGGTTCTGTATTAAAAGTTAATTACCTTTTTAAGTATTAATAAGTTAATATTGATAATCACATAAAGACACTTCTGTAAACCATGTTCTCTTTGCATATGTATACTTTATATGCTTAAAAACATTGTAAAAATACAAAATGTTAAATACTGAATAAACTATTATACAAAAAAATATCAGTACAATTCTCACAAATATAAAACTATTTTGAGGAAAAGCTATCATATCTAGAGACACAAGACTCCTTAATAATCTACCATTGTTAATCCTTAATTTCCCTTAATCTTTTACTTTATACGACTGACTAAGTTGAGAAGCTGGCTCTAGCACAAACAAAGCCTTTTGAAGTTAACATACCAACAATAGAAGCTTTACAATTATCAATTAAAGTCATATTATTTGATATAAATTAGATAATTACTATGCCCCATTCTCACCTTATCAAAACATAAAGATTACAACTGTTTAAGGCAATTGTACAGAGCTACCTTACTTTGTTTTTAAAGCAACCTGTGATAAACTGATTGTGCACATATGTGCTAAGAAAAAAAGGGGGAAGGGACTGAAATCATTAATAATCAATTAAGAAAACATTGCATTTTTCAAACAGGTACCTGTTGTTTGTATAGTAGGATGAGAATGTGCTGCCAGTAATTTTGAGTTGAGAAGGTGGCCTGGGAGTGGAGAATTTCATGTTGTTTTAATATATATACTACAAGTCAGCATGGAAGAATCATAAACAAATTTTTGTTTTATATAATATTATTATTACTTGTAATATTACTACAAAAAAGAGTGAGGAATACTGATCCTGTGTAATCATAAATTAATCAATTATCTCAATTAGTGAAAAAAGAGTGATTAGTGAAAAAGGTTAAAAAAAAGACTGGGAGAAGAAAATTAGAAACTTTTTTTTTGGCTTTGGCTAAAAGTGCTTAGTTCAGACTGCTACTATTAGCAGTTCTGTTGCACTTTTTGCTATCTGAGTACTTTTACTTGTTTAATACCATATATGAACTGAGTGTAAATCATTGATACAAGGTTGACTGGAAATTAGTGCTATTCTCTAACAGGATTACTATTGTGGGATTAGTTATAATGGATCTAAGCACAGCTCACTATAGTGCCTTACATGATGCAGGGAGAATGGAGTCTGGAGTCATGTATCCCAGCTTCCCAGCTACAACACCACTAAACCTGAGTAAAAGTTACACTGGAAACACCCTTACACCAGGTATGTTAATTTACATTTTGATTTTTTTTTATTATATGATAACCTTCCTTTGAATTTGATTTATTTTTCACTCATATATCCTATGTTAATTTTATGATTTACCTTCTTTCGAATTTAGATTGTTTTTTCTCACTCATGTATTTTAATAATAATTGTCTATAGCATATAATTTCCATGCCAAGTCAAAAAAAGTCAAAGTCAAAAAACATTTAATTCTCTCATTCCATGTACAAACATGACATAATGGAGTAATAAACATGAATAAAGTATAATGAGGCTCAAATAGCAGTTAATTAACATACTAGCGAAAAATATAATTGAATTGTGCTTCCAGTTTTTAAGTACGTGGAGAGCCAAAACTGTTGTGTATATATATATTACTAAAACATATTAAATAATAAAGAAAGCTAGTATTACATTCAAAGGTATTGTTTCATTTTTCTCGTCACACGCACACACGCACGCACGCACACACACACACACACACACACATGTAATACTTTCTATTTCAACAATGTGTAGTATTAAATTGACGATTTCTGCTCAATAGTCGTAACGACAATCAATATTTTTAGCGTAAATGAATATACTACAAAAATTTAAGTAAACATGCGAATCATTTTTAGGGTATAAATGGAGAAGTCTAATTTTTAACAATAACAAAAGGTATGGTATAGAGATGCGAATGGTAGATGGGGGTGATAACAAAAAAAGGCTTTGCACGTTGATGTTGTTGCATTTACTTCCCTTTAGTTAAAGTGTTAGATAATATTCAAGTTTTTAGTTATGCAGAGTGAATTTGAATATGATCTAGAAAAACTTTCTGATCGGCGGGAACTGGGGTCTCCGTCTACTCTATCGTGGACCTGAACTCAATCAGAGCACAACCTGGGGCATGGAAGCTCCAATAAGGTCTTCCTGCGATGAAACGCGCCCCAGGCCGTGCCATACCAAGAATATGTATGTTTTTTCTTTTCAATGTTTAACGACGATGAGCTTGTAATGCGTAAGGCAAATAAAATATTTTTTTCTTGTATTACAGTATGTGGGTGTCCAGCGTTTTATTTCCCCCTCAATACTGTACATAATTATTCATTCTATAGCATTAGGGAATATTTTATCAAGTTCAATTATTTCAAGATCAAAGTGAAAAAGATTACATTTCTAGTATAAAATATTCATGCATTTATATTGAAAATATATAATTTTTAAATCAACAAAAATATAACACTTACTTTGAATATATTTATTACAAGCAATGTGAAGAAAATATAAAACTGAACATTAATAAGTTTGGATAAAAATCTTACAATTCAATTAAATTCTGTGTTTAAAATCATATTCTAAATTCTCTTCTCTAAATAACCAGAGACCAAAAATGATTTTATAAAATTTACTTTAAAGCCTATAAAATGCTTTATCCATGCTTTTTTTCTTTTTTCTTTAATAAAACACTATTTTATAGATAATTCAGTCCATTTAATGAATCATATCTTTAAATGTCTATTTTAAATCTTCATTTTCCCCCCAAGTTTCTTTAGACTGGTTAACCATTACTTAAGTAACCTTTTAATTCATCAAAGTTAAAAATTAGTGTTCATTTTCACTTTAAATATATGACATAAAATAACATATAAATATGTAGATCTGACAATCATTTATTCTATTTCAGGTGCGATCCCCAGCCCACTGAATTTTCCCAGCATTACGCCACCTCACAGTCCATACTCATTCTACGGGTTTTATTCACCCACATCTACAACCAGGGTCAGCCCCATGTATGACCCAACATATCTTAAAAGACTGAAGAGTAACCCAATGTTTCGAGATCTACAGACTTTACTTCGACAGGAATGCTTACAGGTAATGTCTCACACTATTATCTACTATCCTTTTGATTAAAGGCCCATTATGTCTTAGAAACACTTTCATTTTCCCCCAAAAAAACTTATATTGCTTGGTAACTTGTTACAATTTAAAAAAAATAATTCATTTGCCACATAGATGAACTTTGCTTCTTTTGCTCTGTTTGCAATATAACAACTATAGTGAATGATTAAAGTTCCATTATGTCTGACTGAAATGCTTTCATTTTTCTCCCCCCAATTTCTCCCCCCAAAGAAAAACTTTAAATTTTTGAAAATTTGTTAGCTTAAAAAAAAATACTCATTTGCCACATAAATAAACTTTTTCTTCTTTTGCTCTCTGTGCAATTGGTATAATTATAGTGAATTAATATTTTATGTGAAGGTTAAAATACTACTTTGTTTACATTTTGCTACCTTAATGAGACATTACTGCATATTCAGCACTACTTTCTTCAGTTCTTTATCATTTAACATGCTCTAAATCTATTACTAAAACATTATTAAGCAGATGTTTGTGATTTCTAAAGAAATATAGAATTCTGAAATTTTGTCACTGCTGATTTAATAGGTTATGATAAAAAAAAAACACACAAAAAACACGAAGTAATTTAGACAGACCTATTATTAGACTTGGATTTTTGAAAAGTGTGTATGAAATTTACTCTTCTTATATTATCAAAGGATAGAATCACACAAATTGCTTATTTAAATTTCTTAATTATATGAAATTAGTCATTCCTTGATTCCTTCAACAAAAAATTATTTTTGGTCTTTTATAGTACGTTGGTACTTTACTTAATTATATAAGCTCATATCTTCAACTTTAAACATTATATTAAAATATTTTTTTAAATAATGATTTTTATAAACGATTTACAGGCTGAATTATTATCATAAAATTTAATTAAATTAATTGATAATTATACATCATTTTATAATTTATGCCTTCCTTTCAGATGCAAGTCCCAGCTAATCTCATTACGACAAGCTGGAATCTCATGGAACTCCACAAAACCACACCCACAAATGACCAAGCTCCTCCTACTAGTTGTAAATCAACCAATCAGAACTCTTCAACAGCAATGCCACCACCATCAACATCCTGGGGATCATCCAATCAAGTTGGATCAAGCAGTGGACAACAAGTGTACATGTGTCATATGAAACTTCAGGATAAACTTCTCAAAGTGCGAATAGATCCTGCCGTCAGTGCCGATGGTCTGTCGGTCGAGAATGATTACAGTAAAGAAGTAGGCAATATAGAGATGGAACGTTACCGTGCCTTACATTCGTGTCCAGATCAAAATGTCAAAGCCACCATAAATTCCTACTATGATAAACAAAGACTCAACCTAGCAGATGCCACTGAGGACAAATTAGACAAACTAATCCAAAAAGCTGAAGATATAAGACGATCCGTACAAATGAACAAGAACGCATGTCTAAAACCTGAGAATAAAGTCGCTCAACCAAAACAACCCATTCCTGAAGCTAATGAAGGTGCCTCTCTCTTGTTAGCCCCAGTTGAAGACAAAATGAACGCTGTCAGAAAATTGAAATTCAACACAAGTGATGACAATGTGAATACCAATGATGATAATGATGATGATTATCTTAACTGTAGTGTGAACTCAGAAGACTTCGAAATCGATGACATTGATGTTGAAACAGTAGATTCTAAACACAACACAGAAAATCTATACGGTTCCAAAGTTCATGAGAAGAGTGACTTATTGAAACAATGTATTGAACAAAGTGGACTAAATTCTCTCAAATCTGAGCCCGAGATAACATCTGTATCAACATCGCCTTCAATAAACCACAGAGACAATAGCGCTGACATTCTTAGTGACCTTAGTGCAAGTGAAAGTATTCTACCAGATAGTAGCACAGGTGATTCACCAATCAGTATGAACTCTCCAACAGAATCGACCAATCACAGCAGCTCTAACAACAGCAGTATTATTGACAACACCAACACCTCTTTCACCAGAGAAGAGTACAAGAATAAAACGTGTAATTCTGTGAGTTTTGATTTCACGCAGTACTTCAGCACTCCACAAAACGGGAACTTCAAGTATACTCATCCAGATCATCTAAATTTCGCACTCTCTGAAATGCAAAAAATGTGTGACGGGCCAACCGTAAACTTCACTCCGGAACTTAGACGAGACTTTAATCATGTCATTACACCGGATGTTTCTTGTGCATCTCCATTTAGTGAACAATCAACAAATATACTTGGTAACCAGAACAACATATACAACAAAAATGTGAACAAAATATATCACGTTACAGATTTTCAAAACACGGTCCCTCAGAAAAATACTGATCACTCCATGAAAGGTTTTACACCATGTGACAATAGAAACAACAACGTTAATATGAACTTTGACAATACAGTCAGCAATACAGTGTCAAGTACTAAAACTCACAAGAAAGTTGATGATTTTAAGTTTGAAAATACTCCCGTGTTCAGAACTCATCGTATGCTGAACGCTGATGCAACTAACGTCCTCTCACATTGGTACCAGGCTCACGTCCACTACCCTTACCCAAACGATGAAGAAGTTGAAACCTTATCCAAAGCTACCGGCATCACAGGACGTCAAGTTAAGAAGTGGATGGCCAACAAACGTGTTCGCTGCTTTAACACGCTGTCAATCACCGGCAATCACCATCCAATCAAATACAAATACCAGGGGAAAGGTCGCAAGAGGAAAGCACCCACAGACGAGAAAGAAAACTGTGATTCTACGACCAGTGAAAAGAAAGGGAACTACTCGATGTTGAACGACGCCGCTAAAAACGTCCTAAACCAATGGTACGAAGACCATGTAACTAATCCCTATCCCAGTGAAGAAGAAAAACAACTTCTAGCAACGCATTGTGGTATAACAGTCAATCAAGTAAAATCATGGTTTGCTAATAAACGAAATAGGTCAAACAACACTAAAAGACAAGTCCCGAACTACTTCATTGAGAAATTTCCCGAATACTCCCCGATAGTGCAAATGGTTGGTCAAAAACGTGAAGAAGAAAGGATGATTAAGAGAAGGAAAGTGAACGAATACATGTACATTCAACCACCATTCTACATATAAACAAATAACAATGTAATCAAAGTGATGATCTCAGTCATAAAATTGTGTATTTTATATCTGATAGTTGTATTGTGCTTAAAATGGATCAGAACCTTGACTGACCAACTGTTAGCTATGCAGTGACTGAAAATCTAATGCTCACACAAATATATTGATTGATATAACTGATAAATCATGATTGATATAACTGACTGTTTTGTATAAAATGTATATAACCCATTGTAAAATATTATCACACACATATGTGCTATATTAAGTTTTCATTATTTTGATGATTATGTGTTTAAATATTATGTTAGAATGTTCTTGTATGTAATATAATAATATAAATATGTTCATATGTATATATAAATAAAAATGTCATTTCAATCTATAAAGGGTTTGTTTTGATATGGTGTATTTTATAATCAATTTAGAACAGTTCTTACAGCCACATGTAGATTACAAGTTAAAAAGATTTTTTAAAGGTTATTTGGCCCTATATAAACTGTTGTTAAAAGCTATGTAAAAGTTTCTCCTCGACAATACTAGGGTTTTTTGTCCAGAATTTTGGGAACATGACCCATACTCTCATGGAATTGGAAATTTCAGCAATGTTGTGTTAAAAATTGATAGAAAATGGACGACTTAAGTTATGCAGTGATTAAATAAATGCAAATAATCACTGTCTAGGGTGGCATCTTGAAACCATAACAGTGAAGAAGCCTTTATTTTCAAAGATTTTAAAATTTGTTATTCAATATTTTTATTTAGTTACTTTCAATTGGGAATTTTTGCTGTGGATTTGGGAATATGACTGAATATTGGCTATAAAATAAGCCAAAAATAATCCCTGAATACTTACCCTATGTAAAAGAATGGCTATAAAATAAGCCAAAAAATATCCCTGAATACTTACCCTATGTAAAAGAATGGCTATAAAATAAGCCAAAATATATCCCTGAATACTTACCCTATGTAAAAGAAGAACACGACAAGCTTTAAAACTAGCTTCCATCTCTATCACAGCTGCATTCTTGTACTAAAATACGTACAAATAATATAATCACTAAAGACATTACACTGTCTGCGGCAACCATTTTGAATCAAATAGCATTATCATATAAGAATCTTGTAGCCCTGGAACTTGTAACCTCATTATAAGTAGAGCTGTCATTGATAGAGATGATATTGATGTATCGTTGCTATTATTTGTTGATCAATAATCGATACACATTTGAAAAGATCTATAATTTTGATTAATTATTTAAATGTCTTTAAATTATGAAAATTCACCAAAAAACATATACAAGAGCAGGTGGCCATGTCTAACACTAATCTTTTGTTACATAATGTACACATTACATAGCAGTGATGACAAAAAATGGTCAGAAAATAAATAATTATGCAAAGGACATTTATAAATAGGACACAACATATTTGTATGAACAGAACATGTATTTTTACTAAAATCATTTAAACAGGTATGAAAGTAAATTATATATAAGAAATTAGGAGTATTTATCCATATATTGGTGTATCACCAATATTTGGCATCCCATTTTGATGTATTGTCAATATACTTTGCAATGAATCAATGACAGCTCTAATTATATGTATGCCTTAATATGAAACTTGTATCAGATTTGAGCGGTGTTTACAAGACAGAATCTCATTTGGTGTGGTAGTACCAAAATCCGTGAGAGCCAAAGACAAGTAAATCATCATATACCTTGTTGAATTTCAACCGTTAAGTAATTGGTATAACTCTAGCTATATCATTCCAGATGACACTTTAATGTGATACCGTTTTTCTGTTGGTGGCTAATATGTGTGCATGTTGCCATGCAATACATGTATTAAATTTAGAAAAATATGGACATGTATGATATATAATAAAGTATTTTATTGTGAAATGTATATAAATTCTTTTTGTTCCACACTTCTGGCATAAGGCCTGTACCAATCTGACACTTGGGCAGAGCCATCAACCAAAAATTTATTTAATTTGGACCTGTATAATTTCATCATATCAGTACTTAACTTTTAAAATGTATAAAAAAAACACAATTTCAATAAAATATTTTTTTCATTGGAAATACAACACAATTTCCTTCAATAAATTAATTTTTCATTAGAAGTACGCTAATGTTTCTATCTCGGGAGTTCTTTTGACCTTCTCACTCAGTGTGAAGAATCATATAAGTATTCTGGTGCCCCCCCATCATAGAAAATATATGTGTTTATATGTTAGTAACAAACCTTGCTGTAAAACATAAGAGCATCTTTGTATTTTTCAATCATATCATCAGGGTTGAGACCAGATTTACTCGTCACCTCTGGAAGTTCTTGTAAACCATTTGAGTAACTATGTATTTTACTACCTGCGATGAAATAAATGTAACATAATTATACTTACAAGTTAATTAACATTAAACTGTACAATACCGGAATATATTCAGATGACTATACAGCCTTAGGAAAGTTGGGTGCGGCTTATATGGTAACTTTAGCAGTGTGCGAGTCCAAATATATCCTGTATTGTTTAGAACAATGTTCAATAACCTATTTGTTCAATCTGATTAAAATCAGCTTCTTTATAATGCTATGCATTAGGACCTGACGATGACCAATTGGTTGTCACTTGCGCATGATTTTTCAAACAGCCAATCATCTGCAAGTTTTCTTTATTTTGAAAGTGATGTGGTTTCTAATTTTAACCACTGGAAAACCAATACAGAGCAGGTAATTTTTACCATTTCGGGAACAAACATGGCTATGTCCACATAGTTGGCAGGAAAACTGGCAAAACAATCTTTCCCATTAAAAATTGAGTCTATTTTTTTTCAGTTTATTTGTTTCAAATTACTTCAAACATTTTTCTCTTACATAAATCAACAATTTGTTTCACTTCCACGGACAACAATATTTTGATACATCGCCTAATGCTTATCTGTAACAGTGATTAATCTAGATGTGCGTCTTGCGTGAAATACGCATAAAAATCGAAAAAGACGCACAGTTTCAAAATATGTGCGTTCAATTTAACGCATGCAAATCAGGTGGATTATAATCCAAAATATCACGATAAGTGATTTCTATGTACTGTTTGATTACTTTAATTTCATCAGTTGAATAATTTTTCAATTTCTTTAGTTGAATAATTTAATTTCCGATGAATACTTGTGCAAGACTAATCCCCCATTTGCTTGAAACATTAAATCCCTGTGATCGGTAACCGCCTATTATCGGCATTAGCCAATCAGAGCGTCCATTTTGCATGAGAGCTAATCGCCTACAATGGTGAAATATGCAGAGATGCCTGCGCCATTGGCGCTAAAAAATGAGAATGGCACAGGAAAATTGTCAGCAAAGGGCCAAGGTTGCATCTAAAATCTGTGCCAGACTTATATTGTATGTTATTTAGTCATCCAGACAAAACTGGTACCAACAGCAACAGGTTACCCATTCCCCTGTAATTACGCATATCCTTGAGTTTATCCATTTCCCTATTATAGCATTTTTCCGAGTTATCTACTTACCTTATCCTTTTTCCACACAGATAAGCATTTCAACTACCGTAAATTTAATCCAATAAAGCAAACAAAAAATCATTAATCTTCTTAATATTTTAAATAAATATCGGTAACTGAAAAAAAATGTTGCTATTTTAAGAAATGCTGTAAGTTACAGTATAATCTGACAGGTGTGTAAATTGAATTCCCCTAAGGTCACTCAAGTTCACGCGGAGTGTAAAAAAAAGATGTCTATTACGTCATCAGAATATTTGACAGGGTGATTAACCAATCAGGGAAACATTGTGCATGACTTTTTTTCTTGATCAAAAGGTCTGTCTGTGTATGCTTTCTACACAGAGGCATACAAGGAGCAATAAAAGTCGTCAGTATGTATACAGTGTGATAGGGACATTTTGTGCAAATTACGAACAATTAAAATGGATAATGCACAGTATTAGACATAAGTAGTAAGAAAATTTAAATAATGCAAATAAGATTTTTGAGCAGCCAATAAAAATTGTTTTGCCTGCAATTAATATTAGTACCAAAAAAAAACAACACTTTTTTATACACTTTAATTACTTAATCGCTTGTTATAAAAACATGCAAATCATGTCAAGGATCTGCTATTAAAAAAAATTTCTGCTAAGACGCATTTATTTTGCTACATGACTCATTGATTTTGCTAAAGGACTCATTGTTTTCAAAAATGTGCGTCATCCGACGCATTGTAAGGAATTTCTAGATTAATCACTGCTGTAAAGAACGGTTTGATTGCATGACTAAAAATAGATTTCTCGAGAAATCCAAATCACAATGAAGGTTAACATATAAGGTGGTCATCAGATCATCATGTAAGATACATGAGAAAGGTCATACACTCTCAATTGTTCAATATCAAATAACTCTATAGGACACTACAGCATCAATCTAATATGAAAATATATTGGATGGACATGTGGTACAATTTAAAAGGAGCCAATGGGTGTATATATAGAAATTACACGTCTCTCAGGGTAATAATGCATATTAGCAACCCAAGAATTAAAATAATACCCGGGGTAGAGGTTATTGATCCTAAAAGATCATTGTGTTCAAGTTTGAAGACAATCTATTTGAAGGTCTTGTTCCAAGGATTGTTGTAGCCAAGTATGAAGACATTACCTTAAGAACTTAAAAAGTTATGCTCAACATTAAAGTTTGGGGCACGCCAACAAGAATGCCTACACAACAACAAAACTTCTATTTTTTTCTTCTAAAAAAAAAGTTAAGCTAAAAAAGGTCGTAAGTAGATATCCTACGTGACAATACAAAAGCCCATTCAAATATTTACAAGATACAAGTTGAGAACTAGGCAATAAAAGACATGATGAAAGATATGATAAAAGATATGATGAAATATATGATAAAGGATATGAACCTGGTTTCGGCTTTTCAAGGCCAGCAACTCCTCGTTTCACAGAGAAAGACTGGTTTCTTCGAATCGTGGTCATCTGAGAGTTTCGGAGAGTAGTGACTACAGATGCTGCACAAAGTCCTTCATAACAACCTGGTATGTTATATATATAGAGGATACTGAATGAGTGTAGGTTCAATACTGAATTTAGTGAACCAGTTGAATTAAATTATATTAGGCAAACCTCAGGCAAGCATAATATTACTTGATTCTACTTGTTTACTAAATATAGTACTGAACCTACACAAATATTATATTCTATTTATCACATACCTGAAAAAGAACTGTTTTTTTTGTTCATTACAATTAACCAAATTATCATTGACATGCCTACTGTGTACTATAACGCAAATATTATGCAAGTCATTACACTATGTTTGTATAATATAAATGACGTGACATCTTAATATACACATGGTCGAGGAATACCGGTTTTTACAGAGTCACAAAATCAGCACAGATATGTGATAAAACTTTACTAGAGACAATGAGACTAAATCAAAATCAATCTACCATGGTATTATCTTTAAAACATCAGGAAATTTGAGTATCTTAGTTACAAGATATCACTATTAATTTAATTCTTAATATATCAAAAATTAAAATTACACAAACAATTGAACAATTTTGACAATTAAATGTATTTGGAATTATAATCAATTATTATTACAACACCAAAGACCACTGTCAATATACAACCTTGTGAATAACTTCAATGCAACAAGCTTAATATAATTTTACATGTCTAAATGACCTGGCCTGTGTTCACTAACAAAAGATCAGGATCAAGATCAAGTGTTCCTGATTTTTTTTTCATTGTTTTTTTGCAACTAAAACTAGTTGTGTTTTGCTAGAATTAAATGGTTAATATTCAAAATGTAAAAAAATGCTGATTTGCAAAGAAACCAAACTATTTTGGGATAAAATCAACGAATAACAAAACAAATACAAAAATATTCAGATCAAAATAAGGATCAATTTTAGGATCAGGATCAATATTTGGATCAACTGTAAAATGCCAGTATCTTGCAAAAATAACAATTAATTAATTCTAAAATTTCATAAACTTGCTATTGCAAGTCCAGTTTCATCAAATTAATAGTACTGGTAGATATTTAATTTATGAGGATAAACAATGAAGAATATTAAGTTTTTAAACTTGAATCTGATCTTGATCCTGATTCTTAAATCTTTCTGTATTTTAGCCTGTAGTTTACCTGCCATCCATAGCCAATCATTGACTGGTTTCAGAATATCTATAGCGGTGCTATAATGTAACATGGCTTCCCCCGGTAGACCAGCTAGCAAACTGAGGTCAGCCAAGTGCTTTCTTAATCGACCTTGACATTTCTTCTTGTATGACCTTGACACAAGAAATACAAAAATAAAATGGTAAACTTTCAGATGATAAAGACACAAAACAAAGCACAGTATTATCTGACAACTAAAACTGAAATCAAAATTGAGGTTTTACTTACTATAATATTACCATTACAATATTGCTAAGTAATACAGTGATAAAACACATCAATCTCATATAAACTCTAGACTCCAAACTACCATATAAAAATTTTTTCAGAAAGTCCTACTGGTTTTTGATTTTTATTATTTCTTTTATTTTTTTTTTTAATGGGAAATAAGCATTTCCAAAATATTATCATTTTACATATTTGATTGCTTACAATGGGACGGTTGATATTTCAGGTAAAACATACTTTCATGTTTCAATTTATTTTACATGAGGCAACTGGAAATTACAGCATAACTAACTACATTGTACATATAAAGAGGATATTGAATGAGTGTATGTTCAATACTGAATTTATTGAATAAAATTATGTTATGCTAGTCTCTGGCGAGCAAAATATTATTTTATTTAAGTTCAATAAATTCAGTAATGAACCTACATGACTAAGAAATTCTATTTATCACACACCTAAAACAGAACCATTTTTTAATTAAAAAAATCATTTATTCCTTGATGCGACTATAAGACACTATTACATTTAGCACACTTAACGCTATGTTTGTACAACGCAAAATATATGCACGACCGTGCAAAACAGTTTTTTGAGTCGCAAAAGCAGCATGGGTATGTCATAAATTTAGATATGATATTTGTCTTTATACAACTTACTTGGTGTCCGGATCAACGCCCACAAAGTCTTTCTTCTCAAATGGTGCACACAATAACTGCGACTTGTCAAGACGTTCAAATGACCTGTCTAATCTTTTCCCTGTTGGAAATATTACAGAAATGTCATTAGAGCCGCATAACGACAAAACCAACATCCGCACAGTCTGATCTGGATCCATGCTGTTTGCTATCAGTTTCTCTACTTGTTATAGGGTTTGTAAGCGAACAGCATGGATCCTGATCAGACTGCACGGATGTGCAGGCTGGTCTGGATCCATGCTGGTCACAATCGCACTAAGTTGGTTTTGTTGTGACGCGGCTCATTTTATCCTTTTCAACTTAAACAGGGAGAAATGTGTTACATATATTTTCAAGTTTAGTTCACACTAGAACAGCCAGTCTTAAAAATATCATTGTTTCCATCCTGCCAGTTATGGTATGTTAAGTAGGCAGGTAAAATAAATTAATATCTAAAATAATCTTTATTTAACATATAATTTATATCTGAATTACATAATTAGTAAAGAATTGTGAATTCTTAGCATCCGTTCAAAGTTTAGAACTTACCTTTCAAAGGTTTATATTCCCTGAGTTTGTACATTTACAAGATAAAAACATGAGACAAATAAAAAGATTAGATTCTCATTGAAAAGTTAACATTAATTTTAGGCATCGTTCAGTTAACAATACAACCAGTAAAAATTACTGTACTGTATAGCATTTTCTAACTCGCCACTCACGGGAAGTAGTTGTCAATAAGTATGGCTTTATTCTAACTTGGTGGCAGACAGCAATTAATTGCAAGATATGGGGACGTCAATGGTCAAGTGGTTAAGGTTGTTGACTTCAAACCACTTACATTTGTACCCCTCACTAGGTTTGAATCCCAACAGGGACTTTGGACCCTTTCATGGGTTAGAATCCCGGCAAGGACTTTGGACTCCTTCATGTGAGGAAACTATCCGGGTAGCTTACAGAACTTAGTGGTTCTACTCAGGTGCCCATTTATGCCTGAAATAATGTTACGGAAGGGCTCCTGACGTCTCCCTCCACCAGTAAAGCTGAAACGTCACCATACAACCTATACTGTGTGGATGCCACCTAAAACCAAACACCAAAAAAAAAAAATGTGCAAGATATTGTTAAATTTGTGTCAAACATATTTGTAAACTACAGGTACTTGAACAATTACTCTTACCTTCAAGGACAAAGAAAAGAGATGTCACAAATTCTCGAACACTTTCCTCTAAACCATCACACATATCAACACTCGGGTAAAATACCACTTCCGAACCTGGTTTGTCTCTTAAACTATTATTACTAGGTGTTCTCGTCACAGATTGCTTTACTGATTCAATACTTTTATCAACTTTTTCAGTCTTTTGTCTAATAAAAGTAATCTGTGAACTAGTATCGTTCAATTCCTTTTTCGGTGAACCAGTCCCGTTTTCGACTTTCTTTGACATTTCTGTGTTTTCATCTAACGACTTTCTCAAAGGGTCATCTAGTTGTTCCGCATCACCAACCTGTCCGTTACTCTTTTTATTTTCAGGGGTAATAGTTCCATCTCCTTTATCACAGTCTGAACGGTCAGTGGTTTCACTTTTCTCAGAATCAATTTTGAAAGTCAATGGGGGTGACATGCCTTCAATCATGAAGGATTTCTGCTGCTGTTCATTTATTTCCGTCCCGTCTGTGTTCATACCGAACACGACCAGTCTGGAATTATACAATGTATCTGCGTAACGTTCTTTTTCTTTCTTGTAGCTTTCAAACAATTCCTCAAATTCTGCTTCCGTTGAGCAACGTCCAATAGAAATTAAGCCCATTGCTTTCCTGTGAGCCTGAAAATCGCCCCATTCATTACTTTCTTTCGTGTATGCTCGTTTATAGCGTATATACATATCACGCTTTTGACCAGGTACGGCTACACAGTCCAACTGACAAATGCGGTCCCAACATCGTGAAAAATGCTTCCATGATAACAATTTTCCTGTAAAGACAAAGCAAAATGGACTCTGTAAACTCGTAATAATGGTTTCAAAACTATACTGTCATGCATATTTACATTTTTTGTACAGATTCATTTTACCTTTAATTCCGTTTCTATGAATTTAACACTTTCCAAACTTGCTATGTTGAATAGATTTGTCCATCTTTCAATCTGTCCTAAAACCATTCATCATTTTTCAGAAAAAATTCAAAATATGTATATTGCTGTCAGTGTAGCAGATCATTAATTGATGATCAGACTGCACAGATATGACAGATAATCTTGGTCTGCATTGGTCACATACCAGGTAGAACCAATCACTGCAAACAGCTTGAGGGAGGCAATAATCTTTTTGTAACTTTAAATGATGCATATCAAAATTAGTACATTGTGTAATTATTGTAAAACAAAATACTGTTATAAAATTATTCAATTGAACTGGCCATGCAATACAGTCAAACATGTGAACAAAAGCCATCCAAAGGATAGACGAAACATGGCCTTTATTGAGAAGTGGTCTTTCTTTGTTGGTATTTTTTTTAATCAATTGAGGTTTGTTGAAAAGTGGTCTTTATTCACATCTTTATTTGAAGGTGGTCTTATACACAGGTTTAACTGTACTTGTAATGATTCTAACTTCTTATCACAGATCTGATAGATTTTACAATTATTTGCAGGAATTTTACCATTTGACTACCTCTGCAGAGCAGGGCATATATACATGGGGATTAAAAATTCAAGTCAAAGTACCCATTATTACCTGGGGCAATGTGGTGCTATGCATACAATTGACTAATACATACCTGTTGGTTTAATAAGTACAAGAAATGTTTGATGATCTTCTGCTGTCTGGCTGTAGTCAACTGTCTCCATGACTTACAACAAATAACTTTCTTTAAGTAATGACTTCCGAATTTCTTTAAGTTGCATCTGCACCTATCCACAGCCCAACAATGACTTTAAATTCATTTCTGAAAGAAATAATATCAATAGTAATTTAATATACTTATGCATCTTATAATAAATTGTTAAATTAAATATTAAGATAAACTGATCAGTGACATATATAAGAATTTTAATACCTATTCTTATTTCTTAATAAGGAAAACAAGAGCTGACAGCAGTTCAGCATGCATGACTTTTTTCGGTGCTTGATAGTAAAACAAAGCCCTGGATAATGCAAAATTTTCTAATTTCATTCAAAAAGGGCCATAATTCTGTCAAAATCTATGTTATAATTATGGGCCTTGGACAGTGGCCTCCTTTAAGTCCTAATATGCTTTTAAATAAGTGTGTAGTTTATGCAGTTTGAACCCATTCCTGAGAAACCAACTTGAATGCAAAACTTAACTCAGTTAATAAAGTGTGACGCTGACATGGTGGTCACAGGGTGAGCACAATAGCCTTCCCTTTTCTTGGAATAGTCAAACATGTAAATGATATGAAACATGTCACGGTTCAAAACTGTTCACTGCACTATTTCCTATTTAGGCACTGATTTATTAAGATCAGTGATTTAGGGGAGAGGATGTGTAAGCGGGCGGGTAGCTCGGTCCATACAGTTGTGATAACGGTATTCCAGAGTCCAAAGTTTGAGCCCTGGTCAGGCTACACATTTTTCACACTCTGACATTTGGCGCTCAACGGGGGGCCGCGACTGTATATAGCTGTGAGTTTTTAGCATAATTTGCTCTGTAACCCTGAGAAATTTGTGGACAAATTTTAGGTGACGTTTCAGAACTGTTCACTATTTAAGGGAGATGTGTAACTGTAAGCGGCTGGATAGCTTCAGAATGGTCCGGGGTTCGAGTCTCGGTCAGGCTCCACATTTTTAAGTTTACTGTCTGAAAAAAAATAGATATCAAGAATGAATTAAAACTTTATTAGTAGAAAAAAACAATATGTGGTAACAGTGTGGGAAATAAATCATAAACGGGACCTAGTTATGCAAAAGAGGGGAGGATGATAACGTCGATATACACTGACACTTTCAAAGGGGGTGGGGTACGCGAGAATAACAAGATAAAGAGTCTTTTGTAGATCAACGAAGTGAACATTTGTATAATTAAGCCCTGATAATTGGAGTTAAAGGCACATACTTGTCAAAAGGAAATGTTTTGACAGTCGTGTATCAAAAAATGTGTTTTAACGCATAAAATTGCGATTGTTTTTCTTTGCAAATCGTAATAACGTGAACTAACGTAGCCAAATCTCGCTTGACGCGTGAACAAAAACGTATTACAGATTTAATTTAGGCTTAAACCAACTGTATGCAACAGCAGAGTGGCGCAGTGGAAGCGTGCTGGGCCCATAACCCAGAGGTCCGAGGATCGAAACCTCGCTCTGCTAATACTTTTTTTTTTTGCTCGCTACATGTCTTTTTCCCCGCACACTGTTCAATGGTCACGCCCACAGCGTTGAAAGTCGTACCCTCTGTATTTTTATCTTATGACCCTATTGCATGTATCAAGTTGAATGATCAAATTTCTATATACAGTACAGGTATGATATTTATAAGTTTTTTTCTCTATGACTTAAAAAGTCATGACGCATATAGTGAATTATTAGTGCACGTTATGCCAACATATGGATCAAACATTACAGTCTCTCTGTCATACCACTGGAATGTTTTTATAACCTTATCAAATTTCAAGGTTTAATATACAAATAACGAAGACAGGGGTTTTCATTTTGGTTCTAGCCGGTAGGCTACGTACATTTATGTAATTAATGCACAACGCAAATATTGTTACATAGTACAAAAGTAACAAAAAAGAAAAAAAAAGAAAAAAGATTACACAAGGGGGTACACGTACAAGGGCTTTAGCCCGGGGGCAAATTTGAACCAAGTGTGCCAATATTGACACACTTGCCCCATGTAATGACATGTTTATTTGCATTAGTTTCCGCAGCAATGTTTCAGAAATGGAATAAAATCAACAATAACCGTAATAGTCTAAATATATTTATTAATTGCCGTCCCTATTCGTCTCATAATATATAACTTACTCAAGACCAGCAACAGTGATTAGCTAAAAGATTTTCAATGTCCTCTCGACCGCCCTTTTTTGCCGAATGCGATAATATAATCAACCTACTTATCATTCCTACGCTAGTATTTTTTATTTGTCCAAATAAACTGATAACTTATAATTTTACATTCTTTGATAACCGCTATGTTAGTCCACGGATTTATATTGTAATATAAATCTGTGGTTAGTCCAACTAATTGTACTGCGCGACGAGATATTGTTCTATTTTTGTGTCTGGGCAATATTTCGCCTCTAGACTCCAAACGAAAATATCTCAGAATCGAGCTTTGGCACGTCAATATATTTTTACTAAATTATTCCTATGTCACTCATTTATTCCAATATAAACAGATAAGCCAAACAAGCACGAACATTCAGTAATTATTTATTGCAAACGTTTCGGCTGTGCAACACATTTTCTTTTACTAATGTATTCCATAATTGAATTTTAACTGGTATGCATGCATACTAAGCTCGTATCCCTTGAAGAATATATTAAAATGTTCATAATAATTCCATATTTTACAAACCTGTCATGAAGCTTTCTTTATATTACTGTAATAATTAAGTATCTGGTATTAATGCAGATAATAGATCAAAACATTATTCATTGATTCTTACGCCAACTATATTTAAAGATTTTGAATACCCTGCCGTGTCTATAAACGTAAAGGCATCTGCCATTGCATTGCTCCAGTCTGCACTGTTTTATTTACCGTCTGGTCTGTAACGCTTAATATACCCCAAAAGATCTGCATGATTTATTTTATCAAGCGACAAATTGTTTGTTAGAAAGTCCCCCCTATGCGCTTAATGGTTAATTGATATCAGTGATATATATATACTGGTATCCCCTAACCCTTGCGTCCTCTGTAATTAATCACTTATGGTACTGACCGCACCTAAACTTTTAACAAGTTTACAAGAACAGATACACACTTTATCTGGCTTGTAAAGGTTGTAAAGTTCTCTAAAACTATTGTTGACCTGACCTCGTTTCGATGTTTGTCGTAAATTTAGTGCGAGTATTATTATTTTGTCTCATCCGCGCTAATGCGATGAGTGCCAACATTGTATTAAATTCGCATTTCGGAACCGTGATGATCTACGTTTGACGTTATGTAAACAAACATACAAATGGCCGACCTTTACAATGCAATGCCATCTGTTCTGTTGCTCTCAGATAAGTTCAAATGTTTTCGTCGTTGCTATAAAATGTTTAAAGGGATCCTGTTCCCTTTCACAGTGGCCCACGGAATGCTTTCATTTCACTTTTCAACCTTCAATCATCTCTTTATTTTTGGCGTAGCTTTAAGTTTCCAAAAAGTAACTCTTCTAAAATCTTTAACATCAACATGTTATTGAGCATGCGCAATATGCATATATCATAAACAATCTATCAACATCTCCCTTAAAATAAAAATAAAAGTGTGCATTAATATTATCATCATAAAACTACTAAGTAATTCATGAGTAAATTTTATTTTTGAACTGCAAAATGTTCGAGCATTTAATATCTCCATGATTTTTTTTTCATGCATCAGTTTTAATTATTTTTAAACCATTGTTTCTCACAGTAACCTATTTTTTGTCTGGGGTATAGAGTCTGGGAAGAGCTGAATTATTTTCTTTTTTACGTCGGCGTTCTTTTGAACTCTGAAACAAGGTTTGGCGCATTTTTTCAGTTTAACACATGGATATATTATGGACAGTCACGAGTCATTAGATTTCATTAAAAAATCTGAATTTTGGGACTTCAAGTCGGATGATTTATTTATGAAAATAATGAAATGAAGTTGGACTTAAAAACCATGCACCAACTGTCACCAGGGTTTTGGAGATTTCTGCCAAGGATAGTCCAAGTGCTACTAAAGGACTCCGGATACCAAGGGCAGTAGTTGCTTGTCGTACTGTTTCATGACCCACACACACAGACTTTATATTATATATAGTATATATATTTTTTATATATAATATATATAATATAAATTTATAGTCCTGGCTAAACAGTACACGATTTATGATTATATATTCTAAAAACTACTTTTTACACCATCCCAACATACCTCCTAGTGTGAAATGTTATCCATCGCTGGTTTGTTTTAAGCAAAGAATAGCCTGTGCATGTGCAGAGAGGACCCGTACCATTTGAGCAGATTTCGCAAAGAGGGTACCGATATGGATATGCACCGTGAACATCGAGTCGGGTCCATGTAGACCCACAATCATGAATTTCTGAAAACATGAACTTTCTTCTATGTTCGGTAAGAATCATTACATCTAGCTTCTTGTAAAGCAACTGAATGGGGTACAATCTCAAAATCGCTATTGACTGATTTAAACCCCGCATTTTCCGATTAACGTCAAACTGTAAAAAAAAAAAACTGTAAAAAAAAAGAAAATGCGATGTCTTTCAATGAAGGACTAGATAATAAGTAGCTTTTTAAAAATCTGCTTTTTACAAATTGTTGTTATATATTATATATAAATTTATACACACGAATATATTGTCTATAGTATTCAGACATATATTCCGTGTGAACTTACTATAAAAGTACAATAATTCAGCAAACATACCTTTCAATATAATATAATATTCCAAACTTTTCAAGTTTTAACAATCAAAAAGACACTAACAGGTCTATATACACACAACTTCAAATACACATGTTGATCGCAGCTGCTTATTCCTCGAAATGACCACTGGCCGCTGATAGCTGCGTCTTCTCTGCGGGATCCTATACTGTTGTGTAATATTATATACTCTCTTATTCCCTCTCTAGTCACGTGGGTTTAACTCAGAGTAGACGTGCCTCTTTGATACCATTTGACATGTTAATCTATATGCTTTTTGTTGTTCGAATAAAATATATTTAATATCAATAATATTCGGGTGATATTGGCCATTCAATAGTACAATTACAGGGTTTACACGTAGGATGAAATAAGAATTCCATAACATTGTTATACTGCCTCTGTGTGGAAGTATGTAAAAAGTTATATCAAAGTTAAAAGCAATTTAAAGATCCTGTATGTTGTAATTATGGTTGTAACCACACTAAAGTGAAATTATATATGTGTGTATAATTATGCTTCTAATACAATTTTCAAACAGCGAAGAATATGTAAAATATGTACTGCAAATATTTGTCCACATAATATATAGCATTAAAATATATGCATTCATTTTTTATTAAAAAACAAATGACTTAGACTTTTAGAAATAAATGAAATGTACATTCGGTAATATCTTTACAAATAATGCTTTTTGGAACTTACAATATTGATAAATCTTCATTTGAGCATGATATTTATGACAATACGCAATGGAGATTTTTGGCGCAACGGGCACAACGGAGTGCAAAATTTAAAATATAATATTCTAACACGACCCGCATTTTTCCCTATTGAACATTGAAGAACCGAAAGTGTGTGTTATTATGCTATAAAATCACTGTTTGACGTTCTATATTTAGACATGTGACGTAATCATTATACACGTGACGTAACCACTAAAAATGTGACGCGCTGACAATAAGTACGGAAACAAATCAGACGCAATTTAGCTAATTATCATGTACGGCAGCATTTATTTGTTGACGTCGTGTTAGAATCGAAATAATATATCCAAATCGATGATTTTATTGCTTGATAACATCACTGTTTGTCGTTCGGATGCGCATCATTATATCACTCGGGCTACGCCCTCGTGATATAATTCCCCGCATCCGAACTCCAAACAGTGATGTTATTGAGCAATAAAATCACAGTTTGGGATACATTATTTCTTAAATAAAATACGATTAGCAATGCATTTTCTTTTAATTTGCGTAGTATATGATTTTGAAATTATAGAAATCATCTAAAAGCAATAGTTTCTTTATTATAGGCATTGTATTGTTGTAATACCGCTCATATCTCCGTTGCGCCGATGATTTTTTTGCGAAACGGAGATTTTTTTTTCAAAACTAGCAAACAATGTACTTTTTATTTATTGAATTTGCATTAGTTATATGCTAAATAAAGTAATATTTTGAAATTTCAGAATAAACTTAAAGCTTTATTATTATTATTAATGATCAACATTATTTTTTGTCCAATCACATGGCAGTATTTTTCAAATTTCTGCTTAGTCTAACTTTGGTTAATGTGTACTAACTAAATAAAATTCACTGTCGTCTAACCACAGT